ACCTTAAAATTGAAGGGAGGGGGTCAAAAGAAAATAAACTTTAATTCATAACTTTGGAAGTATATAAGATACAAACTTTATTTTTTCACCAAAATTTACAAAATAATATCAGTAATGGAGAAAAAAATATTTTGAACAAAAATAAGCTAATTTGCATAATTTAACCCTTAAACCGCCATAAAAACTATTAAATGACAAAATGATAATATACGACATTTACTGTAATTACCTTCATATGAAGTTATAACTGATGAAATAATTCCTAAAAATGCATCTATATATGTATAATAGATGTGAAAAATATTAAAAGTGCATCTTATATATAGATTGTGAAAAAATTTCTCCCCCTACCCAGATATTTCAGGGGGGTCAACTGAAAATGGACTTTAATTTATAACTTTGGAAGTATATGAGGTATAAACCTATTTGTTCACCAAAATTTATGTAATAAAATCAGTTACTAAGAAAAAAATTTTTGATATGCAAATAAGCTAATTTGCATAATTTAACCCTTATACAGTCATAAAAACCGTTAAATGACAAAACGATAAAATACAACATTTATTTTAATCGACCTCTCATGAAGTTATAACTTATGAAATAATTCATATAGTTGCATTTATATATGTATAACAGATGTGCAAAATATTAAAAGTGTATCTTACATAACGACTGTGAAAGAATTCTCCCCCTACCCAGATATTTGAGGGGGGTCAAAATGAAAATGGACTTTAATTCATAACTTTGGAAGTATATGAGGTACAAACTTAATTTTCACCTATATTTATGTTATATCATCAGTAATTCAGAAAAAACATTTTTTGATATGCAAATAAGCTAATTTGCATAATGTAACCCTTATAAAGTAATAAAAACCGTTAAATGACAAAGTGATAAAATATGGCATTTACTTTAATTGACTTCTTATGAAGTTACAACCTCGAGAAAAAATTTACAACAGATATGCACAATATAAAAAGGTTATTTTATATAATGAGTGTGAAAAGAATCTTACACCCTACCTTAATAATTTTGAGGGCTCGGGGGGGGGTTAAAGAAAATAATAGACTTTAACTCATAACTTTGAAATAATTTAAGAAAGAGCTTATATTTCTTCGCTGAAAATTGAGAAATCACATCAATAATGAAACGAATATTACATGGGGACAATACTATATTTCAACTAATTTGCATAATTTAAGCTTAAAACAGTCATGAGAATCATTATAAGGCAAAGTGGTTCTATACTGAAATTGACTTCACATGAAGTAAGGACTTTGACAATATATCCTTTCTTAATACTAGCATTTAAATGGAAAAATGATATCAACAATTATGAAGCTATTTTTCCCAACTATTTCAATGCCCATGGAAATTTTCATAGATATAATACTAGAGGCAAATCAAACTTCACCCTTCCTAAAGCAAAACTGAAAATTATGGCAAAAAACAATAGCCTTTAGTGGTCACTCAATCTCCCAGAAGAAATAAAAAAGTTAAATTCCATTTCTTTTCTTAAATCAAAACTGAAGAAGCATATTCTCTTAGCTTATTAATCATTAGTTGACTATATCATTTCTTGTTTCTTCAGTAAGAAGGGTAGGCTCTCAAGGGAGGTACATGGGCCAACATGGGCCAAATAATAACTAATATTTTATAAGAATCACACTTTTAACGATTATTTGCGTCAATGCGGTAGCCTGGTATCTTTAAATAATAATTAATGAAGCTACACATTCATAAAATTTCCCTGTGGCATATGGCACCTTCTTGGCTTCAAATGAAATGAGCATCATGGATCCCCCATACCTTTACTTATTATAATCTAACTTTTGTGATTACATTCCGGTTTGATTCGTTGACAACATAATGATATACTTCATGATTTAACTGCTATATGTACGGGTATTTAAGCATCACCTGTGGTGCCACCTATTATTAATAATATGTGTACACATAATGATTAAATGTATGAATAAATTGAGTTTAATTGAACTTGCAATGTTTCAGAATAACCCTTAAAAAGGTAACCATAACAATTCTAAAGTTTATTGAACCATATTCAGAGTCACTGTGGGGACTGGTGTCATATTCTAGGTTGTAGGTACCTGATGCAGTGAAAATGTCATCATATATGTTTGGGTTAATCCACTTATTCCCGTCCACACTCACTTTCCTTTGAGCCGCATGAACATGCAGCAAAACATTCTGTGCCTGCAGTGGCACATGAGCAAGTGGTTTAACATACTGCTTTGTCCTTGTATCGTTTGCATGTGCAAAATGACTTTGGGATTTTTGTTATATCAAGTTTCGGTTTTTTGGTCATTTTAATGGTCTCAAGAGTAATATGAACCACTTGACATCCAAATCCATTCCCTGGCTCTTGAATCTCAAAAAGTGGTTTGTCAGCATTCATTGAAATGTATAATTGTTATAAACCAAAAATGCATCCATAGTTAGTGGTAATGCTCTAATATCATTTTGGATGCTGCAAACAAGTGTAATACATCCAATGATAGTTTGTTTTTATATTGAAATATAAACAAAAATAACGCAACTCCCCTAGACCAGAGATCGTGCCTATGTGGACAGTCAATGGAGACAGAAACTCACTTTAAAGTAGAATGTCATATGTTTGAAAATGAACGATTAAGTCTGTTTGCTTAAATGACTGATATCAATAGTGACTTTTACATGTATACAAGTCTAGGAAAATATTATATAATAATGAATGAAAAAAACTGTTCAAAGGACACTTGGAAAATGTATGATAAATATGTTAGTCAAAAGGTGTGAAATAGTTACATGCGATGGTCTCTAATAGGTCGGCATCAACCAGGAATTGTTTTTTTAATTCATGTATGTATCTTAATATAACACCTTTAGTGTGTTAGATTTTAATTAATAAATTTACTACTACTACTAGTATAATATTGTTTCCATGTAATATTTGTTTCATTCTTGATGTGATTTCTCAATATTCTGGCGAAGAAATACATGTATAAGCTCTTTCTTATACAATTTCAAAGTTATGAATCAAAGTTTATTATTTTCTTTTAACACTCATTATATACAATACCCTTTTTATATTGTGCATACCCGTTGTAAATGTATTTCTAGAAATTATTTCACAAGTTATAACTTCATAAAAGTCAATTAAAGTAAATTTCGTATTTCATCACTTTGTCATTTAACGTTTTTTATGACTGTATAAGGGTTAAATTATGCAAATTAGCTTATTTTCATATCAAGATATTTCTTCCGAATTACTGACGTTATAACATAAATTTTGGTGAAAGAATTAAGTTTGTACCTCATATACTTCCAAAGTTATGAATTAAAGTCCATTTCCATTTGACCCCCCTCAAATATCTGGGTAGGTGGACAATTTTTTTTCAGCGTCGTTATGTAAGATACACTTTTAATATTTTGCACATCTGTTATACATATATAGATGCATTTTTAGGAATTACTTTATTTGTTAAAACTTCATGAAAGGTCAATTAGAGTAAATGTCGTATTTTATCGCATCGTCATTTAACAGTTTTTATGACTGTATAATGGTTAAATTATGCAAATTAGCTTATTTGTGTATCAAACATATTTTTCTGAATTACTGATGTTATTACATAAACTTTGGTGAAAAAATTAAGTTTGTACCTCATATACTTTTAAAATTATGAATTAAAGTCCATTTTTATTTGACCCCCTTCCCTCAAAAATCTGGATAGGGGGAGAATTTTTTTCACAGTCTTTATGTAAGATACACTTCTAATATTTTGCACATTTATTATACATATATAGATGCATTTTTAGGAATTATTTCATAAGTTATAACTTTATATGAAGGCAATAACAGTAAATGTGATATAACATCATTTCGTCATTTACTAGTTTTTATGGCAGTTTAAGGGTTAAATTATGCAAATTAGCTTTTTTTCATTCAAAATATTTTTTTCTTCATTACTGATGTTATTTCATAAATTTTGGTGAAAAAATTAAGTTTGTATGTCATATACTTCCAAAGTTATGAATTAAAGTCTATTTTCTTCTGACCCCCCTAAAATTATAGGGCGGGGGGTATAAAGATGAAGATATCTTATTTTCGCAAGTCTCAAACTCTAGATATCACCCCACATCATAAAAGTAACTTATTTTCCAACAAGAACTGAAAAAATCTCGCGTAATACTTTCCAATATCCATTTTCACTTTCTAGCTGTTTCTCAGAACTTGGGTCCCTGAGTATATTCACACTGCACTTTTGTGTCGATTTCATGGCGTAGAATAATGGAAATAGCGTCATGAATCCCGGGACAATGAATCTCGGATCCAAGTACGTCATTAATGGTCGAAAATCAAAATATTGACAAATTTATAACCTAAAAGGCCGAAAGATTATGCGGCAAATATTGAAACGGGGGTTGTCAACATTTTGTAGCTTTGATCTCTTAGAATCCGTTGAATCCTAAGCGATTGGAGTTGTTTAGATCACTTTACGAATTAGCCTATATGAAATGATGAGGATTTGAGTTTTTTCAAAGTTTATAATGGCGGACGGCCAATGGGAGATTTTAGCAAAATATCCCGAAAATTAAATCATTAAAAGGCCGAAAGATCTGTGGATGAATTTTGCTGTTTTATATATCAAAATGAACACTTCGTTGGGCCAAGTTGGGCCTAACAAGGATCCGTTGAATCCTAAGAAAATAAGTGATTTGCTAAAAAGTTATTAAGATTTTAAATTTTGATGAAGACATAGATCCCGGCCAGATTCTTTTGTAGTAGAATCAGTAGCTCAATAATATTTATATATTATTCTTTGAGCCTATGATCCTACTACAAAACGATCTGGCCAATATCTGTGGATGAAGACTGCTCTCCATTGAAATCTCTGGACCATGAAATGTCGATTTACGCGCATGCGTTGTGACGTTATTTCCATTATGATTCTACGCCATGTGTGATCGTTATTTAAACAGCGTTAAAAGTACGAACACGCGGAAACTATGATCGTTCGTATAATTACCCTAAATACACAACATGGAGGTGAGAGTCCACTATTTTGTATTTTCTACTTATTTACAAATAAGACAGTATATAGCATCGTTAATGCGAATAAACATGTCCATAATACGCCAATATATTTATATCTCGCTGACTTACTTACCTGCGAGTACAGATTGGATTTACTCGAGTCTGGCTTTGGACCTAAGTAAGATTTGATCATTTCAATTTTCTTCGAGAGCTTTCTATGTAGGCCTAGGCAAAAGGGCCTGGACTAAGGCCTAAGGCTCACCCTGTAAATGTCCTACGTAGGGGGACTGAGGGAGAGGCACTTCCTGTTATATTATTGATTCATACTCGTAGTCGTATGATGGTCACATATGATAAGGCTTCTTACATAAAGTGGGAGACAATAGCTCAACCATCAAAAGTTGTCACAATGAGCTAAATTCTAAGTTTCATGTCTCAAACTCTCCCAAGCGGTAGAAAAATAATTCCTGTTCACTTTAAGTAGCGCAATAAATGAATCCAAAGCTTCATACCTGCAAATGATGGATAAATTCCTACCAAATCGAACAAATGTTTTCATGAATCACTATGTTTGTGATCCAAGAAGGATTGACTCCCAGAATGCAACATCAGTTAACCTTATTTACTCGTGACAGGTTTCAAAATGGTGGAACGGCATTTTGAAAGCTGGCATGTGTCATGTTGCATTCTGGGAGCCAATCCTCCTTGCAGTGTAATCGGGCTCCAAAATCACCTCAACATTTGAAGAGTCGGCATTAACACACATTAACATGTTAATATCCACTTCAAATTTTTAAGTTCCTATTTGTCATTGTGGACACAAATTCCACTATATTTGGACTGGGGAAAATAGAGCACTGAATACACTGATTTTCACTCTTGTGCAAAGATCATAGTACATTACTTCAATCCCGTGATTCAAAATGCTTTTCTGCAATTGTTTTGGTTTTAGTTAATATAAGAGAAAAATAATATTCTCGCACTATAAGGTAAATTATAGGTAGGCACTGCTGTGAAATACATGTAATGAATGTAAGTGGCATCCATCTAGAAATATGAGCATGCTCAAAGAACAGAATCAAAAATAGAATCTCATGCAGATTGCCCCAAGTGCATAAACCTTACTCACTTCGAGAGCCATGTTAGATTTTGAAACTTATGGCTCTCAAACGGAGAAGTGAACAGCTCATCAATAGTGACCTTTGAAATCCAATTAAGATGATCCGCGGCTTACTTTTGGTCTCTAACTGTGTCTTACATCAGTATCATCAATCCGTGTAAGTATTGGAGCGCTGGAGTACTTCTTTTTCGATCAAGACTTGTAAATTGTTCATCGAGTGAAAGTTTTTTAGACCTATTTCCAATATGGCGGTTTGTTAGGTGCGAGATACGCAACGAACGAAATGAATTTTGAGAATTAGTTAGGTTCGGACAACCTCCGGAGATTTACGAAAATGTCCGAGCAGAAACCGCCATATTGGAATTTGGCAGTAAAACGATTCACTCGACTAACAATTACAAGTCTTGATCGAAAAAGAAGTACTCCAGCGCTTCGATACTTACACGGATTGATGATACTGATGTAAGACACAGTTAGAGACCAAATGTAAGCCGCGGATCGACTTAATTCGATTTCAAAGGTCACGATCATTGAGCTGTCCAAATGCTCCGTGGGAAAGCTATTATATCAAAATCCAATAGCTTTCGCAGGAAGTAACATAAACCTCTGTTTACCTCTTTCAAAGGCTGGCTGATCTGAGGCCTTATTCACAAAGCATCATGATTTTTAGCAATTGCTATTGTTATGCGATAGCGATATGGCAGTATTTACAAAAGCTCTTCAATAAACAGTTAAGTCTGCTACACCCCCAAAATGCAATCTGATTTTCGACACCGTTTCGGTGCCAAATTTCGGTGCCGTTTCGGCACCAAATGGACTGACTAGTCCGGTAGCAAATTTTGGTGTCGAAAGGTTTCGGTGCCGAAACGGTGTCGAAACGGTGCCGGAATAGCGCCGAATTTTTTCGATGCCGAAACGGTGCCGAATTATATTGGCTGTGTATAGTGAGGCTTTTCTTATTTATCGATATGCAAAACCCCAAATCGGTAAAAATTGCTTTGCGATTGTGAAATTGCGATGCTTTTTGAATAAGGCCTCTGATTAGTCAGCCTTTGAAAGAGGTAAACTTTAAAGGTAAAAGTAGAAGTAAGCTTGTAAATATAGAGTTCTCTTTATATTTATAACTATTCTTATACTTTTACCTTAGAGGCCTATGCTTGAGACTTCCACAAGGAGCTTATGCTGTATGTAATGTTACTCAGTTACAGATGTATCTCTATCATGAAATGGTCAAAATGATATGTTTTGTGGGATCTATTACTCTGGTTAGTTGCTGTTTTTCAAGTTTTGAATGTTATTCATTTTATATCTTTTGTTAAAGGTGGAACTGTTAAATGGCAAATCTGGTAAAACTGTTGCAGTTTTGAAAAATGTAAGTACATTTACATAAACAATAAATTAGCCATTCCTTTAACTCCTTCCTTTTATGGTATCAGATCTGAAAAGAAAGCTTTCAAAAACAAATTGGAATCTGAAAACCATGATATTTCACTCGAGGATCAGCTGGTTTTCAAAATTATAATAGTACCATGGGTGTGATAAACTGTATTAAAATGGTTGATTTATATTTTGAATTTATTTTCCTTGTCTTGTTTCAGTTGACACCAGAATCAACAATTTCTGATGTGAAAAAGTTCCTGGCTGTACAAAGTAAGTTTACATTTGTCACACAGACCCAGATTGGTATTTTTCAGCTCATAACACATCATGTGAACTATTATTATTTCCTACTTGTCTGTCTCTATATTATTACTATATTATACAATTGTAGCATTTTCATTGTTTTATTGTTTAATTTGTAGAGAAGCAATATTACCCAGATAGACAATCCTACAAGATAGACCCCAGTAAGTAATAAAATAATATAAGACTGGCTTTTTGGATACAAACTTTCTCTTTTGGTTTAATTTTTGCAAGGTATTGGTTTGGCTCATTTTTAAAAAACAAATTAACGATTTTTAACTCACACAAATATTAATAACTACTTATTACATACTGCAGAACAGAAATATATCAGTAATTCTGTTCACAAATCAAAAAAATGAAGTTTCTAGTGTCAGTCAGAAAATGTAAATATTTCAAATGATCCTAAATATTTCCAATTCATAACCACATTTTACATAATGATCAGTTTCACTATGGGCTCTCAATTAGTTGAAAGCCCATGGTTTCACCATCTCAATACCTATCGTTTTGATTATGTTACCATTTTATCAACATGTTATATTTGCAGAGTCAAAAAGCTTGAAGGATGATCAGACTCTTGGTCAGTTAGGCATCAGCAATGGTGGAAAACTTTACTTCAAAGACCTGGGTCCCCAGGTTGGTTGGGCAACAGTAAGTACATGTAAATGGTATGCACTGTTCATAAGCTAGATGATGCTGACTACATATGAGTTTTTATAATACCTAAAACATGAAACAGGAACTATCTTATCTTCAAGCAGATATGAAATGGTATTTTTAACCTAAAGGAATCAATATAATTTTTTGATAGATGTATTTGGACATGTTTTCTCATCAGTAGTGTGAAAACTATTTCACTCTAACGATCGTTATAGCTGCTTAATAAGCAATATTCGAATTGGTTGTGACGTTATTGGCCCCCACGTGATCTCTCACTGACTGGTCCCCACGTGGCCCGTTTTGGTCCCTTAGATCATGACGTCATAATGCCAAAATGTTTTGTTATTTGTTTACACAACAATCCTATGGTTGCCGTGACGTTGTGATTACTATGGAACCAATAAACCAAAGCTATATTTTGTATATGACGTTACTAATCACGTGGGGGCCAATTTGATTTATCAGTTAGTTTTATTTCGTTATCTATGACCGTTAGCAGTTATCTAACATTTATTTTATAATGGCTATCGCAAGAAATCTACGGTGGGCTTACAATGGAGAAAACCGAATTTTTGTAGCTGCAAGTTGAGAAAAGCTATTTCAGTTGTCCATTCAGCTTGATTTTTCAGTTTAGAAATATTTAAACAACCAGTGCATATTTCTGCCTCTTTAAAAACCTAGTAAACAGATTTCCCATTTAAAGTCGAGAATTGTTGCTTAGATTAGTATCAGCATTTTAAAATCATCTAACTATCTTACAGTAAATCAGAAAATGCCTGACTTCGCTGACACTACTACTATGTACAAGCCCAAATACTCATGGAACCTTTTATTTATCAAAAATTTAATCTTTTAACCTTTTAGTGAACTACTAGATATTAGTATGATCTTCAGTTTGGCAATGTTTTCTTTCAACATTTATTTATGATTAAAGTTTATATATCTCAACATGCTTTCAATAGCAGACAGTATATAATACTAGGTTAATGCTAGATCATGTGTACATCTTTTCACCAAATACTTCTAAAATTAGACAAATTAATTTCTGATAATTACATATTTACAGTTTAGTTCTGATACCATGAAAAAATTCAACACCAACATACCAAGCTAAAATTAGCACTGCTCCTGACACAGTTCATGATTTGATTGACAGTTCTGTTTTTGGACTTTCCATATTTGGGTGAAATTGATAACCTGTGTTAAAACTTCAAGGTCAAGCTGATCTGGTCACTCTCTAAGACAATTCAAAAACAGATTTTTGACTGAAATTGATCAATTTTATTGTTACATATCTCAATTAAAATTTATTTTTTGGATAAATGACATTTCAAACCATTCTTGGTTATCTGATATCAGTCATCTGAGATGTTTTAACCAAGGTTCATTTTCATTTGAAAGGAGGTTTTTGCAGTGTTTTCTGTGACTATTTTGTCCATGAATTTTGCAATCTTCACAAGTTGAGGGTTTCATTTGAAGGGATTGATAAAACAGGCAGGGGACTGTTTTGATTAAGTATTTCAAATGAAAATGCATTCATATTTTGATGAAACTATGTAAAAGGGTCGTTTTAATTTGTGCACTTATACAGTACAATACTGTAAGTTTTTTATCAACCTCAAGATCCTCAGGGTTAGAAAAGTCCATAGAACACGCCTGACCATCGACAAGGTACAGTCACGTGACATTGACAAAATATACCGTAGTACACTTTTGATGTACTATGTCATTTCCGCCATTTTAGATCGCCATTTTCTAGAATGAGGAAGCGATGAAAGAACTAGCATTGATTTGATCAATATTGTGTCAGTTCATCATCAGGTAGTTGTTGCATTCGATTTGTAATTAAGTTGCAAATATGCATATCTACTTTAAATGATCCTCAGCAACTTCAATATCTTGTTATAGATCTACCCAGCACGTCGGGGATCTCTAAATCTTGACTGAATTTCTCAAAATTCTCTCTAATTTTTGTTTTGCTATGCAAATAACAGCCAAACTACGACTAACACAACTGAAGATAAGTATACAAATATACATTCAGAGTTAATGCAAAACCGCTTTTTACTTTGGATGCTACTACGAAAAATAGATAATGTATGTTGTCAACTCGAATGTATGTTGTCACATTGGCCTTACAGATCTCAATTCACAGTTAATTTTACAGTGAATGAAATGCTATAATGTACGTGTAATAGAAGGAACATATTTGATAATAAAGTAATAATATTTAATAGGCATATCAGATATATTTACCCTAATATTTTTTCCGTTAATCCATAAAATTGTCATTGATATGATTAAATGTCATTGTTACTAATTCTTTTTTTGTGTTCCATACCTGGCTTTTGAACTTCTGCACTTTCCAGATATACAGTGTCCCAAAGTATGCCCCCCTCCCTAGGCAGACATATACCAATGTCTCCATAGTATGTGTCATATATCATTTTTAAGCTTATCCAAAGTTACATTGATTTGCCAAATATGATGGTTCAAATGGTAAAAAGTAACAGGCATTTCAAAAATTAGCGTTTTGTCAAAAAGATTCATTTCAGTATCCTGGAAACAGCCCTGACCCTGTGACAGAAAATATGGATGCCATTCTCGAAGATAGGATGGCTATTGAGTTCTAAAAAGATGACGTTTAGGGTAGATACTCCAAGGAAACTCTTCTTATGCCTTAAAAAGGTTTCATGAGGATTAGAAAACGCCATATCCCTATCTGAAGCCTGTTTAAGGTCATATATGGAAAGTATTGCTGCTGTTAACATGGCGGCTAAGGAGACACACCGACTATTGTTTTGGTGTAAAACTGACTTTAATTTTGGCCAAACACTAACTTTTGTATTCCTGTAACTTTTTCCATTTGTGAGTTGAACCATGATACTCGGCAAATTAATATAACTTTGGATGAGCTTTAAAATGATATATGACGCATACTATGGAGACATTGGTATATGTCTGCCTAGGGGGCCCATACTTTCAGGACACCCTACAGCATAAATTTTGAAAGTCATCTTGCTAGTATAGATATCTCCATGAACTCCTTGAGATTATTAAAATTCATAAAAGTGCAACTAAACATAACGTAACGTACCGACGCCGAGTGGCCAAAAAGGTCGGAAGATATCACGCCATGGTCACATATTAATCACCATATTAACACTTTCATAAAATAAAATAGCATTCAACGAAAAAATCACGTTTACCTGTTTATCTGTACTAGGGATACAGGAGCATGTTCGTTGAACATCACTTGTTACGCATAAAACCCTTAATGCATTTTGAAATTAAATCATTGCAATGTTTAATATTATAACTCATGAATTTCAATTACAGGGACAACATACACTGTGAGTTGACAACGTACATTTCTGATTTTTTAAATTATACCAAATGCATGAATATTTATTAAATCTTAACCCGTCTTAAATTGTGCAGTTTAGAGAAACACATTCTCATTAAAATATTCGACACTCCGAGACGTCAGGGGAGACAATTATCAAAGGAAATGTGTAAAAAACAACATTTTCCAACCGAACAATTGTATGGGTAGACGTACAACGAAAAAAATCGAGCACTGCTCGAAGATCTTTTAACGTAATTAGAAAAATAAATGTCTTTGAAATCGAATACACGCGAAATCAAACAGGAAATCCTTTTTGTATTCCTCAAATTTATTTTTGAAAACCTGCATCAAACCTACATCATAGTCTTTGCTTAAAATCAGTTAATAGTGACATTGTACATCAAAAGTGTACTACGGCATATTTTGTCACGGTCATGTGACTGTACCTTGTCGATGGTTAGGCGTGATAGAAATAAGGAACTAATTGAATGATTTATGGCCTCTCGTCTCTTTCAGGTTTTCCTTACTGAATATGCTGGTCCACTGGTGATCTACTTGTTCTTCTATATAAGACCAGCTATCATCTACGGTGACCTTGTAGATACACATAGACACCCAGTAACAAAGTAAGCAATTAATTTTCACAAAAATATTAGGTACAAAAATTCAGACATTTATTCTTATGTAGAAGATGTCATTTTTGGCTCTCACAGAGAGCCTATGGGATTGACCAGGCATCCGTCCGTCCATCTGTCAACATTGGCCGCACAAATTAAAACTGCTATTTGGATTGAGTCATATCCACATTCATTTTTTGCATATCCATAATGCCTATTTGACCTATCATCGCCATTTCCCAAGTTCCCCCAGTTTCTGAGAAATTGCTGATTTTGACGTCAAAAAGTCAAATTTTCTGTAAATACTAGACACTTTGTTGAATTAGAACTTTCAAATAACTTGTAGTAGTTGCTGTATATGCAATTTATGTTCTCTGAAGATTTCAAAGCTCTTGATATTACAGTTTTTGGTGTTTACTCTATAAAATTTGACAAAAAGTAGGTCATTTTCAGGGAACTTTCTCATGTATAAAGTCAATCATCATTGGCTGCACAAAACACTGTGTGAGCACAGGACCGTGGGTCCTTTTAAATCTTCTCCCCAGATTTTTCTCAACTATGGGAATGAAACTAATTCTTATAAATGTCCATTATGGTCAGAGTTCCCTCTTTCATGATTTTCAAATTCTAAACTGGTTAAAAATTAATTTTTAACAAGATGCAATGTTATTTTTCAATTTTGTGCAACTGAGTGCAGGTACCTAAGCTTAGAGGAAATGTAGACTTTTTGGTGAGTTTGAAGTCATGTCTGCACTTCACAGATCAAAATCAACTTCTGTAGTAATCTCACTGACTTTTTATTGTTTCTCAAAACATATTCTCTCAAAGTCAGGAAATAAGGGTGATGAGCAGGGAGGTTTTGTAGTGAATTTCAGTCACAAAAACATAACAAGTGACAACTTACACTTCCTCTAAGTTTAGTTGTTTCAGTGCTGGGTGATCACTAGATCTACTTGATCAGAGGAAATAGGACTGGTATGAAATGGAATTGGAATGTAACAGTTTTGGAACTCACCTTTGGATTTGGAACTTTCAAAATTGACTCACTATATTTTATTTGCTTATTTTTTGTTAACACGTGTGAAATCAATTCTGAATCATTTATTTAGAATATTTATTACATGTGGCAATTTGGGAAGTATTCTTCAAAGAAAATGTTAGATTCTAAAAATATGGGAAGCAGTTCTGAAAGTTTATTTATGAAGGTACAATTCCAAGGATTGGACAGTAGTTCCTTTCCAGCACTCAAAGGAAGCCATTACAAAATATAGCCTAATAAAAAGGCAGCAAGGGGTGATCATGTTTTGAGAATGTTGCACATGTTCTTTCAGGATAGCATGTGCATGTTGGACCTTCCATTATGCCAAGCGATTGTTTGAGACTGTGTTCATCCATAGGTTCTCCCATGCTACAATGCCAATTTTTAACATTTTCAAGGTAAGTCTTGTTTTTTGTTGTTTGATTGTTTCAATGCTATTGTGCTTTAATGAAGTTGCCATATCAACATGTATCCCATTGTTTCCCAATGAAGAAGTTGCATTTCCCTTTAAAGATTCTGTTGACTATAGATTATCAGTTTGATAAATTAGATAGTCATGTGTTACTCGCCAGTAATTAGCTTAAATATGTCAGTTTGTATAAATATTACAAAAGTGTGTTAACCCTAAGCAGACCTTAAAGGTTGTATATAAGTATTAAAGTGATTTTCACTCCTATTCAAAGCTTTAATATAGCATGTTGCTGTGTATATATAACACTCATTTTTACTTACGCATTTAGAGTGGATATTCATCTTTCCTAATTCCTAACAACGGCCAAATACTTTCACTCACGTTATTCGAGCACTTTCACATATGATTCGATAGTGAAAGCGTATTAATTGGATTTAATTGATGGAAATGAATCTAATTGATGATATTCTTCAAAAAACTTGTTTTTATTGTTTTCGTAGCCCTTATTGAAAGTTACATACATCCTATAATTGCTTTAAATTTTGCAATTTTAATTCCAGAATTCTGTTTATTATTGGGGATTCGCTGCTTTTGTTGCCTACTTCACCAACCATCCTCTATATACCCCTCCAGGTAAGAAAAGACACCTCTTCTACCTAGTTTAGACTTCTTTTTTGCTTGCTCAAAAAATGATGATTTACACAGATTTAAATCTTGTCTTGTTTTGTCGAGTTGTTTTCGGCTAAGATAATCAGTCGAAGATAATCATCAGAATCTGATATAGACACTGATCCTCTTGGTATAGAACCACATGGCCATAAACAGCAGGATTTGTTTTCGAAAATGATCAGACAGAGAATCTCAAAGGGTCTCATATCACTATTTTTAAAGCCATCAGTGTTAGGGATAACTAAATTGAAGATGACACGAACATGAAACACAGAATTCACATGGCTTCACCTTGACTAATCAAACAATTTGGGCTACCCAAATTGCATTATGAAATGAATATATGCAACTTATGAAAGCATTGAATTATTCGAATGCTGTTTTTTATTTAAGTAGCTGTATTTTTATCGATTGTATTGTCAGTATTCTGATTGGTTAAGGCAAGATCATGGGATTATCTCTTACTTAAAGAGTGGAGATAGAGATGGAAAGGGTAGGTATACTCATGCCTTGTTTTTTCAAAAGAGGTTAATATACTAAACACTTTATTTGTACATAAAGTACAGTATATTATGTTATTAGTTCATAGGGGTCTTTAGATGTCTATCTGACATCTCATTCAACAAATTAAACACTTTGAAAACACTTTGAACACTTTGAAATCATGTCCTTATTATCCCACCGAACAAAGTATGTGAGGGATATAGGAAAGCCGTTCATCCGTCTGTTCGTCCGTTAGTTCGTTTGTCTGTCCGGGCGATAACTCAAATACTGGTTGACAGTTTTGATTCAAATTATATGGGTGTAGAATCTCTGCTTGAGAAGGAATTTTCAATATGGCTGCTCAATTCAAAATGGTCGCCATTTTTTATAAAAAATGTAATCTTTAATTACTCAAATTCTAGTGTATGGATTTCATTCAGATTTTATATGCTAATGCTCTGGGACAAATGAGCTCTGCTCAAGAAGAGATTTTCCAGATGGCGCTAAATTTTAAAATGGCCACCTTTTTTGTAACTGAAACACCAGTAAATGGATTTGACAAATTCTATTTGCTGATTCCTAAGGACAAAATAGATCTGTTTAAGAAAGAATTTTCAAGATGGCGGCTAAATTTCAAAATGGTCACTAGTACTACACCATTTTTCGTAAAAGAACATAATCTTTGATAACTCAAATGCCAGTTGCCGGATTTGGTTCAAATTTTATATGTTGATGCCAAGGAACAAAGAAGATCTGCTAAAGAAGACATTTTCAAGATGGCCTCTGATTTTCAAAATGACCGCCATTTTTCATAAAAAAAATTAATCTTTGATAACTCAAATACCAGTGGACTCAAATTTTGGTTCAAATTTTATATGTTGATGCCCAGGGACAAACGAGCTCTGCTCAAGAAGGAAATGGCTGTTGAATTTTAAAATGGCTGCCATTTTTTGTTAAAAAACCTTATCTTTGATAACTCAAATATCAGAGCATGGATACCATTCAAGTTATATATGCTGATGCCTAGGGACAAAGGAAATCTTGCTGAGGGGAATTTTCAAGATGAAAGCTGAAATTCAAAACGGCTGCCATTTTTCATGAAAAATGTTATCTTTAAATTATTGACAAATCAAATACCAGTGGATGGGTTTGGTTCAAATTTTATGTGCTGATGCTTAGATATAAAGGTGGTCTGGTCAAGAAGTCATTTTCAAGATGACCACTATTTATCAAAATGGCTGCCATTTGTTGTTAAAAATGTGATAATACCAGTTGAAAGATTTGGTTCAAATTTTATATGCTTATTTTTTTATTTTATTTTATTTTATTTTTTTATTATTTTTTTCAAAATCAAAACATATTTACATATACATTTAATCAAGAATACAAAAGTTAAGTAAGGTGTGATAATATAAAATATAAGGCTACAGTAAGTATATAAACCTGCAGTAATCTCACATCTATAAGATGTAAAAAAGAATAAAATAAACCTATAAAGATGTGAAAAAGAAACACAGCAAGTACATGTCTGTAAAGATGAAAAAAGTATATCTACATATACTAATACTATATATATGTTAAATCTATACTATGATCTACATCTACTCTGTTATTAAAACAAGTTCAAAATTATTAATACAGTCCTCTAAAAGGTGCAGCACTTCATTATTTTTCTTCTTCATATGTCTCATATTTTCAACATACTTGGATAAATATAGAAAGGCTTGATTGTTAAAATTTACATCCTTAAGTCCTTCATAATCCTCTGAGTGTTTACTCCAATTTACATAAATGCTATAGCTGACCACAGTTGTGACAATATTTCTACATCCTTGAATATTTCCTTCATTCATATAAAACCCTAATATTATATTTTTCCATTGAATATTACATTTTAAAATCTTTCCAACATTAACCCAAAGATTTCTTAGTAATCGACACTCAAATATCATATGCTTGCTGTCATGAGTTTCATTGCAATACAGACACAGTTTCGAAATTTTATTATTCCACTTACTCACAAGTTCACCACATGCCAAATTTTATATGCTGCTATTTAGGGACAAAGGAGCTCTGCTCAAGAAGAAATTTTCAAGATTATTATCAAAATATGTTTTGTTTGGTGGAATTTGCTACTCCTTGGAGTTGCTGTTTTTCTAGTTTTTATTTGGTTGTGTTTACTGCTTTGTGGTGTTGCTGTTTTAGTTGTTTGTTGATCTTGTGTCCTTTCACAAAATGTGGTTCAAATATGTTATAAAAGCGGTATTTCTATAATGCATTATGTTTTTATTGTGCTTTATATGTCACATAAGATAATAAATCTTTGAATGTTTATTCAATAGCAAATTTACAGCAACTTACATAAAGTATGAATTTTCTTGCATAGGCTTTGAGAGTCAACTACATGTATTTGTTAATACTTCAAACCAGGAACAAAAGTTAATCCCCAATTTGACATCTCATAATCTTAGTTTTGATATTAACAGTTTTAGGCTATTGGAAAATGTTCAGTCAGTTTTTGCCTTGAGTTGTCTCTTAAAAATCATCTGGACCAGACGTTTTAATAGAAACCAAAGGATGACACAAATCGCTATGGCAATCAGCGAGAACAAAAACAGTATATCAAGCATAAAGAATTTAATTTTCGTCATTTCTTTTGCTCGAGTCTGAAGATGCTTTGTTCCATATTTGGTTGCATGAATGATGCTATCAGCTGCCAATTCTTGCGGAGTTGTTCGTCGATCACGGAACATTCTGGAAGCTCTCTTTATTGATGTTGAATATTTTGGATTCAACAAAATCTCATTTATTGTTTTATTTAATTGTTCAGCTGTTATTGTTGCCCAAGATAGTCCGATACCAAAGTTTTTATGTTCAATTCTCACAGCATTATGTTTTTGATCAGTAGGCATACAAGGTATAGAAATCATTGGGACAGCATGGTAAACAGCCTCGAATTGACCTATACTCCCACCATGTCCAATAAAAAGTTTTGTATTTGGATGACCTAAGACATCGTTTTGCGGAATCCATTCCATCAATTTGACATTATTTCCAACAGATTTCGGTGCTTTTCCCTTAAATCTCCAAATGACTTGTTGATCTAAATTGGAAAAGACGTCACTCAGCATTTGTGTCAATTCCTTAGGCAGGTAGGCCATATAAGCCCCAAATGATACCACAATAAGTCCATGTTGGGATGATTCAATAAAGTTTTTGATGTTTGCCTCAAGGGGTTTTGCTGGATACGTTGTTAAACCACCAACAAAAATCATATGCGGTACAGTAGGCCGAGGGTAAGAAAGTATTGGATCTTGATCAATTAGCCAAAGATCAGCATCCCGAAATATTTCCATCATAGTTGTTCCTGCTGGGGCTTCTGGGTAATATTTCTCCATGAGATCATCTGGATTGTTATTGAAGGAATTGGTGACATATGGCAGTGCGATATACATGAATAAGTTCACAACCCTTTGTTGAAAGTTCATGTCAGGCGGGAAGTCAATGTTCTGATTAGGATATACGGAAGGCATATGTGGCACCCCTATGTCCCAGTGTAATCCAAGGAGGGCTGTCAAAGCAATATACGGAATGCCTAATTTGTGTGGGTACAGCATCAGATATGGTGCAAAAAAGAAACCATCAACAATCGCATAATCAAAATTCAGAGATTTCACTTGTTCAAACAGAGCTTTATCATTGAATAAACAGTCACCTTGTTTTGTCCATATTTTCTTTGGGTATTTATAAAATAAATCATCATTACCACTGATGATCGACTTAATTGCATCATTCTGAAATTCTTCCGTTGCTCCAATTTCATTTCCAGTAGATGCATACGTCAGTATTTTCACACCAGATTTTGTGACATCACTAGGAATCATGCAGTTTGAGGCCACAATGAAATACACTTCATGTCCTCTGTTTATTAGCTCTCTAGATGGTCCTAAGAATTCCATGAAATGACTGGTCCACATTAGTGGTATTCCAACATACTTGTAACTATCCACAAATGGGATTATACAAAAAGTTAGCGTTAGACTGAGACAAAAACTTGGATGCATTATGTTGTATTTAGACTTACATACGAAGTACTAAGTCCAGATTTGAAGATATTCCTATGTGCAGTAAATTTGTAACTGATATATATACGGTTATGTTGCTCTAACCTTTATCTGAGTTGGCTGGTACAAACTACTCTTTCAACAGTTGAGGCACAATTCAATATTCAAACGATTTCATTTCTACTTACCCACATGTATTTATCATTGTCCATAAGTCAAGTGTATGTCTATATATTTTTATTACCTCATTGCTCTCTGTTGAAGTTCTCTGAAAATCTTTATACAAATAGATAATAAGAAATATGTGACTTATTAATTTGTGCCTTTTATATTACATTTAGACTTGATGTAGACAAGTAGACAAGATGGCAGTTGAATTCAAAATGGCTACCATCTTTCATAAGAAATGTAATTTCTGATACCAGTTGCCTTTAATATAGGAGTTACTGGATTTGTTCCACATTTGAAAGGCTAATGTCTTTTTGGAATGGGGCCAGTCACATCTGGTTTAGAATTTATATAGTAATGCCTTATGGCCGAGCCTTATGGGCATATGACTCTGCTCAATAATAAATTTTCAATGTGGCTACTGAATTCGAAATGGCTTCCATAATCTTTGATAAATCAAATACCAGTTGTTGACAGATTGGTTCAAATTTATGTTCATTTTGGAATTTTGGAGGTAATTTTAGATGTTTTTCTTAATTCCCAGTACTTAAATGGAGTATTTAAAGTACTAGACCCCCTATTATGTGAGATACAAGGTATATTGGCTCTATAAATTAGTGAATGTAGAATTCAATTCTCCCTTCCTGATGACCCCATGAATATATTTTAACATACATGTATTTATTTTGTCTATTGCAGCATATGGTGATCTACAGGTTTACGGAGGTTTGGCAGGCTTTTTGGTAAGTATGTCCTGTTTTGAATGCACAAAGATGAAAAAGATTTTATTCTTATATGCTATACATCAATTAGAATAAGAAAACTGGTTGTAGTTGTAGCATCTGTGGCTTCATTAGAGAAATTTATGATATGACAAATTCAAGATATCATTGTTTGTCTTAGTTTTCCTATACATCTATTATAGGCATGTTCCATTTTTCGCATATTTACTTCTGACAAAAATTCAGAATATGAAAAACTTGAGGATCACTAAAACCATAAAAATAATTATGATTTTGAGTTATTTTTGATTTTGAGTTTTGTAGTTTAAAGTTTTTCTATTTGCCCTGCAACATTTCTATGTAGTTATATGTCCTAAAAACAATCTTGATTAGTTGTGTTATTAGAAAATTGTTGATGAATGCATATAACTCTGTAGATCATAATGCATAAAGTGGTCGTATAATGAGGCAGGGTGTGTGGGAGTTACTGATCTATATTTAAGAGATGCTACACTTAAATCTGCACTATACCTAATTTAGAAGAAAAAATAAAAAAGCAATCATTGAAACGTGTTACTCACAAACTAGCTCAAATATGACACAAGGTTTGATTTGCTTTAATATTGAACCAAGAAAAAAGTAACTCACATAGAAAAAAGCATTTGTAGTTCAGAGATCATTAGACATGCATGCACATGTTAAACAAAGTGCATGTTTTAAATTACTATTGATTTAAAAGATGGCGACAGTTCTATAAAAATGAATGTATCTTGTAATACTCTGCCATTTTTCAATGACATTGATAAAAACTTGATATATAAAGCTTGACAGATCGGGAATATTTTTTGATAATTTATTATAAGTTTTGATGTGGTCCATTTGAGCTATTGTTGGTGTAAAATGAAAGATACGGTTCTTATCAACACATTGGACATACTATGAAATTTAAATGTAAGTCTTTATTTTGCCCAAAAATGTTGAAAATTCCCAAAGTGCTCCTTTAAATATAGTATTTTGTAAGATTCGACTGTATTCACAGCAATTATTTAGATTGTGCTCAAAATTTTCAATTATCTTATGAACAAAGTTTAGGAAGGGTATAATAAAATATTCTATCCTTCTGTCAGAAAAACATATTTTTGAAAGAAATAATCAAGTGATTGTCCCATTTGCAGAAGTTCCTGTTTCGATGATACTTTCTAACCTTTTCTAACCTTTTATGCTTTTGAAAAGCTGTTTCCTGTAACCAGAAAATGAGTATAATGAAATCAAGTATAAGTAATAAATGGAATATTATGAAGGTCACAGTTTTCATGCTACTGTATTTATAGGAAAAAAAAGTTGCCATGAATTGTTTTAGTTGAGCTTAAGCATACAAAAACAATACAGTGAACATATTAATTGTTATAAATCACCCACTTCCCAAATAATGCATTAAAGCATCAATTCAAATAATATTTTGAATATCAGCCATAATTATTGTATAATTCTACAAAATGAATGAATGATCCCAAGTAATAGACTCCATTTGCAAACATTACAAATTGGAAAATTGATTTATGTCGGTTGTTTTCAAGTTGAAACATATTCACTGATGCTGATACTGATGTTAAGTATGCAAGATCACACAAGAGTACTGGATTTGAACCTGTGGCGGTACATGTCACCTGTGGTCCTGACCATTGGATTGATTGGCAATATCCTATCGCTACTTGTGATGAGATTCAGGAGTATGAAATACTCAACATTGTCACTTTATCTCTCAGTGTTGGCTGTATCAGATATAGGAGTGCTTCTATTTGGATTGGGACCTAACTGGGCATTTCGTGTACACCAGTTCAACCTAAGAGCTAGCCATGCCTGGGTTTGTAAGGTTGATGCATTAATTGTACATTGCTGTAGGGACCTGTCAGCCTGGATTCTGGTCTGTGTTACCTTAGAGAGACTTGTAATTGTCTACTTGCCATTGAGAGCAAAAATTCTATTTACGCATAAAAGGACGATGTTGACACTGTTACTGTTGATACTAACACTGGCGCTCATTAACTGCCATTTCTTGGTGACCATGACTGTGATAGATATGCGTAATGCAAGAGTTGAATTGAAATCAATCCAAAATGAAACGCTGACTCAAAATCACACTTTTCAGCTTCAAAGAGAAGGTTTTACACAAAATGGAACTAGTACCGTACTATGGGCCACACATGCATTAAATGAATCTAAATATGACTGTGCAAACATGAAATATTCAGACAATTTCTATGCCTATTATTGGACATGGATTGATGCTTGCATAGCGTCATTCGTTCCATTTATTTTGATCTTCATATGTAATATCTTAATCGTATTCCAGCTCATAAAAGCCAAAATTAGACGCAACTTATATGTCACCAACTCGTTGAGTGATGATGCCACAAAGTCAATGACAGTTACACTGATCGTCATATCGATTGTTTTCCTTGTACTCACAGCACCGGCTGTTATAGTGCTTATTGTGATTAACCTGAAGAAAATCAACGATCCTAGCCATATTTTGACTCCTCATGATGATCTTCTGATCACAATAGTTTATATGCTAGAATATTCAAACTGTGCTCTCAATTTCATAATGTACTGTATAAGTGGAAGGAAGTTCCGAGAATCACTTGTTAAGTTTTTTCAATGTAAGAAACCACTGACTTTGCCAGACACAGTGAGTTCATACAGACTCAGACAACACTAAGAAACAAAATTGAAACAGACGATAATTGGACTTAACATGATTAAGAAGTCAAATAAATATATATTCTGTACATGGACACATGTGGTATTTCAGCTGTTTCCAGTCTAAAATATTCAAAATGAGCTATTTGAAAGTGACCTTAGCTTTTAACTTTTGGCAGCCATCTTGAAATCTGGTGCCATATTGGATGTTCTCGTAAGCCCCATTTAAGGAAACCAATTCAATGGGTTTATTTCAAAGATTGGAATATTTGGTAGAACCTTTAGGGATCTCTATCTTCTACAAGAACTCACCAAGATTTCACTGTGACAACTAAAAACTTTTGATAAAAGTTTTGACAAGCAAAACTAAATTTGGATTAAATACAGATAGTAATTGTAAGCAGTATTTGTAGTACTTCTTCCAGATACTGTATCGAGATTATCCAGGTATCCAAGGGTACCATTTAGTGTTACTAATTTGAGTCTTCTATTTTATACTAGCATGCTATATCTATCCTATTCTCTAATATGCCTTTTGTATTGACTGATTGATGGAAAAAAATAATTGTTCTATTCAGTACTTAACCAGTCCTATTTATGTTACTTTGATCAAACAAATTTGTTCTGAATCATAAGTATTGTAATTGATCAATATGTCTAATCCGAACACCATTGGAACAAGCTAAAAGCGTTCAGATTAAGAGATGTTCACATTTCGAGGATTTTGCATTCGTGAGATTCTGGATTTTGAAGAAATGTGAACACATTCTCAATAAATATTTATAATTTCTTTGACCACATACTTTATGTTATTCCAGTAATATGAAAATTTAATTAGTCATTCTGAAAAGTACAATTATGATTGAGACCCTTCAAGTTTTTTTAAAAGTGTTGATGTCATGACAAATCAGTGATTAACTTTCAAATATTTATGAAAAGTGTTCAGATTAGATTTATTTTTCAAATATGACTGTTCACTGTTCAAATTTGGAGGTGTTGACATTTTAAGGTTTTTTAACATGAAAGTCAATGGAAGAAAAATATGGGGCCAAAAAAGCATTCAGATTAGGAGGTGTTCGGATTAGCTAGGTGTTCAAGTATACAGGTTTTACTGTATTTGTACTATTATTAATATTACTGTTGAGCATATCCACGGGGGTAAAGCAGACCCGATGATGCAATGAGCTTGCTCGGCGGTATCATGACTGTGTAACGGGTCTTAATGTATAAGTGTGCTCGGCAGTAGGTTCAAACAACGCGGATCCTCAAAGCATGTGCTCATGGTATATTCGTGTTTTAACACCCGTGATATCTTTACTCCATTATTACAGCATTAAAACTAAGGAGAATGTATTCGTGTACAATATACTATCCTAAATTGTTAATGCCTGGTTGAATAAGATGTAGTTTGAGGTTTTGTCTCTTGTATATTCATGTACATTTTAACCAACAAGGTTTGTATCTTGTTCAATATTAAAATCCAGATTTTTGTATTTAGATGCTTTAGGTCTACAAAGTGCATGCCACATTTTAATTCCCCTTTGCTTTCTTTCAGTTGAGCGAACTGGGCAATTTTTCCATCCATGTCAACCTAAGGAACCTCAGACCACCAGGTAATTTCTAAGGAAATTTTGGACCACAAGGCCTTTCAGTCAACTCTTTATCTTGAAAGGACTAGGAGTAATATGTAGAATGTCTTAAAGACATCAAAGCAAGAATTATATGTGTGTGTGTCTTAAAAATGACCAGCAGAATTTGTATAAAGAATTCAGTATTAGCTATAAAAAGTCATGCATTCTAAAATATCTTTGTTAGATATTAAGCACCACATTGTTTATATTTTTGTCTATTTGAAGTCTCAAAAGTTTCAAACTTTTAACATGTAATTTAACTACACTTGGCCTCTCTCCAACCCTTGATGATGAAGCAGAGATGTGGAGTATAAACAAAACAATATTTTACCACTGGGACACTAAATAAATACAAATACATTAGTTAGTCTATGTGTAGAATAAACAAATGCAAATATGTGTAGAATTAAATTGAAACATACATGTATCATGAGACAGTGCCACAGTATTATTTTGTCTATCTGGTCTCATAATCTTGTGATAACTTAATAAGTGAACTTTTCATATTTCAGGAACAAAGGCACGTCGTATCCCTTACCCAAGCAGCAACCCATTCACAATGTTGTTCAAGTTTGTATCTTGTCCTAACTACACATATGAGGCTGGGGCTTGGATCAGCTTCTCAATCATGACACAGTGTTTACCAGGTAAGCACATGTTTTCAGAACAAGTATTCTGAAGAACTAAATCAATGCACAGTAAGACCTCTGTGAAGGAACACCTCTTAATGTAAACAATTTTGGTATAGTTTTTTCCCCGAGTGATGTTTGTATCAAAGAATTTTCAATGTACGTATATCTAGGAACGTAGAATAAGTAGAATCATAGGATTACCATACATACAGACTCGTTCCTAGGGTCACATTCACAGACAGCATTTTTGTTTGTTTTGGTAACTTACAATCTTAAAGAGTGTCATCAGTTTATATTATTGAAGTATATGGCTCATTTGGGGAATTTAAAATAAAGGAAGCATTTTTGAAAAAACTTTCTTTTTTGTGTGAGTCCACGATAACTGGATGATCCTCTTCAACTGATATTAACAATTTTATAATTATATTCATCTGTCTCCACCTTTTTGCATTCCTCAGTGTCTCACTGTAGAATATCATTATTACATGTGTTTGTGAATATTATAATGAGTTATGAGTAACTTTCACAGATTTGAAACATTTGAAACATAGCATATTTAACATTGATTACATAAAGTTCCATTACATTACATTAATCCATACAGTTCTATTGTGTTAATAATGCTTCATCTCTTCCAGCATTACTGTTCACTGCAGCAGGGTTCTACCAGATGGCTATATGGGCCATGGGCAAACACAGGAACTATAAGAAAGAATTTGAAAACTACCCACGAGGAAGGAAACCCATTATACCATTCCTGCTATAATTGATCAATACGTAGAGTATTCTAAGGAACACTTGATGCAGTTTTGAGTGATCATGGACATGAAGAGTTTAAGAATGAATGCCAATGAATTATCTGTTGTTGTTCTACTACTACATATTTTGTTATTTGAGACTCATGCAAATATTTATATAATCATATTGATAACAATGACATTAAATCTTAGGATGAATCTTGAAGATGATAACCATATTTAAAACAGTTCATAGAAGTTATAGATGTTTCTGTAGCCTCATCTTTTTTTCTATATATAGGTGGATCATCACTATTTCCTTCGCCTTTTTCTTTCTTTGTAAAATTGATTGTAATTCTGTTGTGGCTTGTTTTTAATACTTTTGTAATATTACACTTGATAAATTGCGAATAAAATGATAAAATTGTATATATTGTGTTTCTTATTATTAGATTTTACTATGTACAAATATTTCACAAAATTTTACAGATATAAATACATCTCATATTAAAATATATTCAGTAGAGCATTGGCAAAAATATTATTAATAAACTTTTTTCCATTGTTTATCTTATGATATATGTTGACTAATTCAGCTTCATATTTGTGTGGACGGAGTATGGAAATACATGTACTGTTGAATAGGGCTTGATTGTCCACATATATCAAAGGATAAGAAGTGATTGTGATACCAAGGCTGTAAAATACACCAAGGCATATAGTCAAAACTCTATAGAAATACCCCATTGGATATTAAACAGTAAAACTTTGTATATAGAGAGATATCAAATAGATTGAATATTTTAAAATTATTGAAAGAATCAAATTTGTCTCATCATCCAGCTAGTTTTTCAATCAAATATTGTCAGAAAATATGACCAGTTTGTTCCAGTTTGATAGGTGATTGTCAGTCTAAAACATGGAATTGAATAACAATGGACTCTTCAAACTGTTGCTATATCCTAGAGATGCATTGGATTACGCCATCTATAGTAATCATCTATTATTATTCCTACTGCACTGATAATGGAGGTACTTTTCCACCTGAAGGTGGTCTACTTCCCATTTGAGACTCAATTTCACGTAACTGTCCTCTCATTTTCTTAATTTCACCTTTCTGAAGTTCTATTATTTTTAACTTTTCTTGTAAATCTTGTTCGAGCATAGCGTTCTTATTGGTTGATGTTATATTGGCGAGAGTTTGTGCTGCCTCTCCTTGGTTACTTTGACGATGTAGCCCAAGCGCTGCCTCAAGGTCATGCACCTGCGTTCTGGCGATCTTTAACTCTCGACGAAGGTCATTAATCTCTTTAATGAGAGATACATTTTCCTGAAACAAAATCGAAGCTAATTTAGTACATCTCCTAATAATATCTCAACTCAGGTAAAATGTGAGAGTGAGACTGAAGATAACAGAACTACATTATACAACACAATGACTTGATCTCTATACTTCACGACACATGATGAACTGCTCTCTGATTTAAAATTGATATGACAGCTCTAAAACATGGATGTATTTTATTCTTCCAAAAGCCTGTCACTAATCACACAATTTAGCCTTATATCTACCATGGGCACATTTTTGAACATTCTCAGATTTGAAAATTCCTAATTCCATTGCATTGATAATGCAAATAAAGATGCAAAAACAAAAGATTTGAAAATAATTTAAAGATTGGATCATTTACCAATATGGGGAATATTTAAAAAGAAACCAACCTGCATAATTCTAACATTGTCTGCCCTGTGAATCTCCGTGTCCTTTGCAAGTTTCTTCCTCAATGATGCCACAGACCTCTCAAGATGCTCTCTCTGGCGGGCATATTCCTTCTGTATGTCAGCATCTACACTGGCTGACTCAGTCTACACAAAGAAAGTAAATGCATTTATTAGTGTTAAAATCTTCTGGTGACTGTTCTCATAAAATTGTATGCCAACTTATAGGAACAAAATGTTCATTGCAATAATCAGAAAAAGCTCATGAAATTGTTGTATTTTATTCAAACATAAATTACATGCAGAGAATCATGTTAACCATGGGCTTTTATTATAAAATTGACCTATTCTTGATAGTATTCTTGATAGTAAGATTATAATTTCTTAATCCACTTACAATATCTTCTTGCACATGCTTTTGGTAGAGTGCCTTGATGCTCTCCTTCAACATCTTGGGGTCCTGTATATATCCCACACAGTTGTGGAGGTCTGTCTTGAAGCGCTTCACTGTGGCCTCCACATCTCTCACCCTCTGTCTCTCTTGATGCATTTCCTTGTCTGTGGCCTTTAGTTTCTGCCTCAGTTCTGTGATGTTCAGCTCTAGTTGTGTGTTCTGCTTGTGGAACCTCTCCAACTCACTCTCCATCTGAATTATGCAACATATATTAGAGTTTTTGTACAACTTAAATTAACTCTTCAAAATGCCTTTGATGATGCAGCTAGTTGACTGGTGGAGGCATCGATTTTTGTACAAAAATACATGTATGTTGTCTCAACTATACAAAAAGACATTCAGGAGATGATTAGATTTAGTCCCATCATTGTAATCACATTACAGAGGAGTAACTTACAAAAGAGAATTTCACAGTAATACAGTAAACAAACATACATATTCAAGTCAAATACTTCACACTGTAAATGTGTTGAAATTGCACACTGCAAAAGTTTTTTTGGGAATATGCATGATTGGAATTGCGTACCTCTTGTATCTGTTCTTTCATGGCCTTGATGTCATTCTCTCGTGGCTCTATCTGTTTCTTCAATTCCTTGATCTTGTAGTCAAGTACAAACTTGAACTTCTCCAATTCTTGATTTTTCTTCTTCAAGTCATAGATCCTCTTTTCCTGTTGGAATAGAAAGCAATGAATGCATTGTATTGTATTGTATTGAATGTATTTGATGAATATTAAACATGTTAAACAAATATTGTACATTTGTGGACAACTAAGAAAGTCAGAAGGATGGTGCTGTCAGACACTAATGATTGGCGCTCATTGACTGAAAAAAGAAAATTCTCCACATTTGAATTTTCCGAACATTCAAGATCTTGAATCTGATACAATTGAGAGATTTTGGAACATACAAATAAGTCAATATATAACACCAAATACCTTATCTTGAATAGTCTCATCTCTCTCCTGGATTTCTTTCTTGAGTCCAGCAGCATCTTTCTCCATATTTCTGATGACATTCTGGAACTTAGTGCTTTCTCCTTGTAACTTCTTGATCTCCTCCTTATGATCATCTATCTCCTTCTGTAGACTAGTGAACTGGAACATAGCATATTGCAACATTGTTCATTCTGTGTCCAGATATGTTAATTAATGATATAGGACAACTGGGAATATGACTAGTTTTCATAGACTATTGTCTGAAATCAGCTGTGATTAAGATGAAATAAGACTAAATACAGGCACTATCCAGTATTCACAATTGGCTCATTTTGATAATTTTGTGAACAAAGACCATTGTAAAGTTTTATCATGCCATCACTCAATGTACCTTTTTCCTCATAATGCCAGTTTCTCCTTTCAGCCTCATGTTGGCCTCCTTCTCATCTCTAAGTCTTCTCTCGTATTTATTCTTGATATCAAGGATTTCACGATCTGAGTCTTCCTCTATCTGCCTCTTGGTCTCCTCATATTCCTTGTTCTGCTGCCTGCCCTCATCATGAGACTACAAAGAATGGATCAAATTAATACTCTACTGTAAACAATATAATTATTAAAACAATATGCATTAGTTGGATCATTGGATAATGTGTTGTTGATCACGCTATTTGGCAAACTATTAAAATTGTACTATCATTGTAATTATTCATTGAGAAATAACAAAAATATAGAATGTAAAAAATCCAAAGAGGAAACCTACTTGCTCAAGCTGGCCAGTTTTTTCTGTTAGTTTTGTCTCATAGTACTCAGTAAGCTCTTCCAGGGCTCTCTCCTTGCTCTCCTCCATCTCCTGCAGCTGTCTCTCATAGTCCTCCTGCATCTTTTGAGATTTGGCCTGTAGCTCCTGGAACTTCTCATACTCCAACATCAGCTTTTGGTTGTTGGCTGACTCAAGATCTTGGAGTTCTTTGGCATGTTTCTCCATTTGTTCACTGGTTTCTTCCTCATGCGTGGCTTCAGACTTTTCCTTGTCTGTTTTCAATACTTGGTTTTTAGTTTTGAGGGATTCCATCTCTTGAATGAATTTTTCAGTCAACTCTTTGATTTTCTCATTATAGTTCATGTCTTTAAGTCTAAGCTGGTATTCATTTTCCATTTTAAGCTCATCTACACGTGTTTTCAACTCGGCCATCATGGCATTCTTTTCTTCCAAATCACTCTTGGTAATGAGAATTTCCTCTGCCCATCCTACTTCCTTGTCTCTCTTTAAACCTCTCCCTTCTTTGTCCTGTGCCTTCCAGATCATGATACAAGAGTCCTCAGAAATGGTGACAAGGTACTGATCATCATAAGTCATTTTCATCTTGGTGATGGCTGAGCTGTGACCTTGATGCTCTGCCCACTCCCCAGGTACAGTCAAAGGGAACTTCATAGACCTAAGTGTACCAGTTGATGTACCAGCGAATAACATTCTCCCAGAATGTGACATTGCCACAGCAGTTAGCGTAACATCATGAGAGTCTACATCACGAAGAATCTGAGAGTCTGCAATTTCTTTAAGGGTTCTATCTGAGCCAACTGCAAATGTTGTCTTTCCATCTGGGGTAACAGCAACACTAGTGTAGCTACAAGACTTCAATACACTTTCTCCCACTCTCTTGCCATCAAAACTGTTCCATTCATACACAGCCCCATCCATGCCACAGGAGATGATCTTGGAATCATCAGCACTCCATTGTACAGATCTGACTTTGCCATTGTGTCCCTTCAAGTTGAGGACATTCTCAAAGGTGGTGGAGCTATAGATTTGGATGACATTACCATGGACTGCTGCAAACATGTTGCCACCATTGCTGAATGAACACTGCAATAAAATAACACCTAGCTTAGGATAGTAGGGACACTTGATTGTGTGTGACATGCTACTCTAACATTGAGGGTTGGAAAAAAATTAAATTATTTTAAAGTTTTTTTTAGGCCTAAATGGTAACTTAAGCATCTTATCAACTTGAAAAGGAAAGTATGAAAACATATGCAAGTTGATCATTGCCTGCTTTTTGAAAAATCCTATGGTATTTAACAGGTTTTATTGATGATCTAATCTAACGCTTACCTCACGACAACCTCTGATGGTGAATTCCTTGAAGGTCCTGATGTCATCAATGAGGAGATTCATGAGGCGAAGCTTATCACTGAAGCCTACCAAGATGTACAGACCAGATGGGTGAAGTGCAATACTATAAGCCTCCTCAGCAAACTCCTTGTACAGTTCAAGATTACTGAAATAAAAAACATGACATATAGCTCAACATTTTTTTAGACAATGATTTACTGCATGTTGAAATTTCAGAATAAATCATTCATTTTCAAGTATTTAAAATACATATGTATTGAACTGTTTTCCAATTTATGTTCTTTAATATTATATCTTAAAACTTAACTTATAACTTCAATTTCACTTACCAAGTCTCGAAGTTCCATATCCTGACTGATCTATCCAGGGAGCAGGTTGCTACCAGAGGTTTCCTGGCACATACATCCAGGCCCAGTACTTGATTACAATGGAATGACTGGGCCAGTACTTCAAATCTTGCCTCATCACCTTGCTTCCCTAGATCAGCACTGGAGAGAGTGATCCCATAAAGCTGCTGCACCTCAGTGGTACATACAAGGTTTTCCTCACTGGGGCTCACAGCAAGACTGAAGATTTGCTGTTGTTCATTCTTCTGAGGATCGGCACTGTTGGGGTCAGCTGGTACCTAAAAGATGAAGCGATTCCATATATTAAATTTGCATCAAATGTTTAAAGTAATTAAAGGTTTGTACTTGGGCATAAAAATGAAATATGTTATTTTTTCTTGTGGATACATCATACAACCTTTTAAAGCATTTTTATTTTGGAATTAAAACTACACTACTTCAAAGAATCTTTCAATTCAATGAGTGAGGTTTGTACAACCTTTTAAAGCATCTTTAGTTGTTCAAATCTCCTTAGAAAGTCCACATGAGTGTTATTTATACTGGATGGTAAACTACATTATCGTTGTTCAAGTCTCCTTAGAAAGTCCACAAACAGAAATTGTTATTTTCATTATTGCAAAAATCTAAATTTTCTTACTTTGATTTCCCTGGTTTTCTTGAAGAAGTCCTTGTCATCAGTTTTCTCAAACATGTGTACTGTACCTAGGCCACATGAGCAGGCAAATCCCTTAGAGTAAGCCACGAGAGCAGTAACAGCACATGACACAGCACCAACCTCCTCAGTCACACTGGACATCCTAATAACAAGATGAGTAAGAGATAAAAAATGAAACATACATAATCAAGTGTAAGATTTATTCTCTATCAACAAGATGAGATACTAGATATAGTATGACTGAATGAAATACAAGGTTTTTAAGATCTATCTAATTAGTATATATTTACATCAAACCCAATTCCTCCCAACTGAATTCTAAACTAAAAAGGCAATATGTCAACACAATTAATTCTGTGAAAATTATGAAAGAAAAACCTACTTGTCTTTATCAGAACTTGACTGTTGCATACTGGACACAACATTGAACTCATTCTTTAATTCACCAGCTTCAAACAGCAGGAGTTTGCCTTTATCAGTACCAACTATCACACGCTCATCTGAGACCCAAGCCTGGCAGAGGTAGTTCTGAGGCTCCATCTTTTGGAAGGCAAATTGTTTAAGATTGCCCTCACTGTATCTGAATAGCTTGAATATGCCATCTCCAACCACACATAGTTGGGTGTTGTCTTGTGGGTTAAATGTCACCTGAAATCATAATCATGAGACTTTATCATACTAGGTACATAATACAAGGTGATGAAACACAGGAAAAACTGTCACAATGATGAAATCATTCAACCAATAGCACAGTAGAAAAGAAAGCCTGAAAATTATATATAAACAGTTTTGTCATAAAATTATTTCAAATTCACTTATAAAACAAAGTATATTTTACTTTAAGCCAAAGTTTCCATGAGCAGCATATTAGTCTCCCAAATTGGGATAAGCTATGCAAATAAAATGTAGTTTTTCTTACCTGATAAATTGGTGCATTAGTCTGTGGGTTAGAGGTTTTTGTGACAGCCATAACTTTGGATTTCTCCCATGTCCAATAGAGTAGAGTCCAGTCTGGCCTTCCAGCTTGAGCCACAAGATATTTGGAATCAGGTGAAAATGCTAAGCTGACAAACTCCTTTGACTGTACTTCTGTTGAACTTAATATTTTCCTTTTTCTTAAAGAATGCAGATCATATATTGTGATTGTAGCTTTTTCTCCTTTTTCTGCAATTGCAACATATCTACGATTTGGGCTCACAGTCATGGCTGTCATCCCTTGGCTTTTGTCAGATCCAGGAATAAACTTCTGGGACTTCTGGTCAATGTTGTACATGATGCAATTTGCACCAGAGGGATAAACCACTGTTTGTTCATCATGATAGGCGATGTTTCCAGACACCTCCGATTTTAAGCCAAAAATATGGCGTGCTTGGGCTACAGCAATCGCCATTTTGGTATTGTGAATCGAGTCTTCTGAAATTAAATGCAAAAAGTTTAAAAATTGTACAATACAAGTATAACAAGGTCAAGTCTCTATGGTCATAAATGCGGTTATGTAAGTCTTTATCTTGGTTACCAATGGAGAAAGTGAAGGGGATTCCCCTTACTTGGGAGAACCCAGATTGTGACTCGTTGACTCATAATTGCACACATTTCTGCCTGGTTACCCTGGATGAAAACTCAAATTGTGTGATAATGCACAAACACTTCATTGAAGTATGCGGCCATCATTTATCTGAGCCTTTTATCATATAGCCTACCTGCAGTATTTCTTAAACATAATCTACATGTAATAATAAAACATGCTCTGCTTAGAAACTTGCCAAAAGAAAGTCCTTTCAAGTCAACAATATATTTATGGCACGTTTGCATGGACCATAATACTAAGAAAAGCCCTTATATGAAATGAAGGGAAACATGTTCCATCGCCCACAACCACAATGACAGTCAGAATCAGGAGTGGGTTCCAATAAGTTGATAAGGTTTAATTTTAAAAACAAACTGACAACTGAGTCTAGGTTAACCAATACCATAGAGTATGGAATAGGTAAGACTATTTTACAGATTTCTACATATGATGTGTATTGTGTAGATATATTCAATTAGAATTGAAAGTCAATAAAATTAAAAAATTTTGGATATCATTCCTGTCACTCAAAACCACAATTCCTTGCATTACTGCTGTCAGAATTTAGTAAACAGTATATCATATTGTACGTCGATGCTTATTTAATAAATTGAATGGATACTCACGTTGTTTTCTATATCAGAAGTTAAGATTTCATCGAAAATGTGACATTAATTTCGTGCAATTTTCTTCTTGAAAAACTGTTTACCTCGCTGCGTTGCTAGAGTGATGACCACTGCGCAACAGGAAGTGCGCATGATTTTAACTCCCACAATGCATTCTGATAAAATTTCGGAAAAAACTTTGTGAGATATTATTTTTGTTATTTTGTAGTTTTTCTGATGAATTGTGATCTTACCGATGTAGTGTAAGAGCGGCGGAGAAAACAATAGAAAATGATGATAACAAAAAATATAAATATAATTAGGAATACTCTTGCATGGAGTGGACTATTACAAAAGTGTTATAAAAATATTGGAAATCATGCAAAATTTTCTTATAAAATTTCTCAGTACAGCTCAGTGGCATCTTTTGAAAGTGTTGACCATTGTCAACATCCATACATAACCGCAAGTGACAAAGAGACATTTGAAGCTCTAAAAAATGATGTCATCTTGTACGAAGATTTCATCACTGTGGAAGAAGAGCAAGCAATATTGAAAGAGATAGAACCGTACATGAGACGACTGCGCTATGAATATGATCATTGGGATGGTGTAAGACAATAAACATGTTTCATCTGTAAAGTCTTTCGATATCATTTTCATTGGTGGGCATACTAGTTGAATAGCGCCCCCAAAGACCCCTTAGAAAAAAATGAAAAATATCCTTAAAATACCCCCAAAAACATAAAAATAAGGATAAACACTTCAATTATGATAAAATACACCTTATTATCTAGTAAAAATCACCAAAATAATACGATAGAATAGATTAGAATTTGATATAGATCTAGTTGGAAATACGTTAATATTCACTAGGAAGAAGTGTACTATATAACTAGTTAAATAGCGCCCCTCCTCCATAAATCCAATGGGAAATTAACACGTGGGGGCGCTATTTAACTAGTTATATATAGGAATCCAAAACTTTTCCGAAATCATTTATTATTCACTAGGAAGAAGTGTATTATATAACTAGTTAAATAGCGCCCCTCCTCCATGAATCCAATGGGAATTTAACACGTGGGGGCGCTATTTAACTAGTTATATATAGGAATCCAAAACTTTTCCAAAATCATTTATTATCCACTAGGAAGAAGTGTATTATATAACTAGTTAAATAGCGCCCCTCCTCTATAAATCCAATGGGAATTGAACACGTGGGGGCGCTATTTAACTAGTTATATATAGGAATCCAAATCTTTTCCAAAATCATTTATTATCCACTAGGAAGAAGTGTATTATATAACTAGTTAAATAGCGCCCCTCCGCCATAAATCCAATGGCAAAATAACACGTGGGGGCGCTATTTAACTAGTTATATAAGACACTCCTTTTACCAATTTATTATACGAAATGAAACAAAACTTATTCTACTTTTTTATTTTCAATATATTTATCAAAATATTTTTTATTACACAATCAACATACTTGCCTTGCATTCTAAAAGGGATTTATTTTTGGGGCCTAATATAAAAAAAGGGGCAAGGTATTTTTGGGGGAAAGTTAAATTTAAGTTAAGATTCTTAAAAAGGGGCGCTATTTAATAGTGCCCCTGAATGCTAAAACCATAATGTGAGGGGCACTATTTTATAATGCCCCTCACATTATGATGTCAGCATCCAGGGGCACTATAAAGTAATGACCCAACAAAATGTTTTATCATGCCCTCAATTTATGTTTGGGGGCATTATTTTATAGTGACCCTGGATGCTGACAACATAATATGAGGGGCATTATAAAATAGTGCCCCTCACATTATGATTTAAGCATTCAGGGGCACTATTAAATAGCGCCCCTCACATTATGATTTTAGCATTAAGGGGCACTATTAAATAGCGCCCCTTTTTAATAATCTTAACTTTATTTAACTTTCCCCCCAAAAATACCTTGCCCCTTTTTTATATTAGGCCCCAAAAATAATCCCTTTTAGAATGCAAGGCATGAATGTTGGGTGTGTAATAAAAATATATATTTGATAAATATATTGGAAACAAAAAATTAGAATAAGTTAAATTTTGTTTAATTTTGTATAATAAATTGTTAAAAGGAGTGTCTTATATAACTAGTTAAATAGCGCCCCCACGTGTTAATTTGCCATTGGATTTATGGAGGAGGGGCGCTATTTAACTAGTTATATAGTACACTTCTTCCTAGTGGATAATAAATGATTATTGAAAAGGTTTGGATTCCTATATATAACTAGTTAAATAGCGCCCCCACGTGTTAATTTCCCATTGGATTTATGGAGGAGGGGCGCTATTTAACTAGTTATATAGTACACTTCTTCCTAGTGGATAATAAATGATTATTGAAAAGGTTTGGATTCCTATATATAACTAGTTAAATAGTGCCCCCACGTGTTAATTTGCCATTGGATTTATGGAGGAGGGGCGCTATTTAACTAGTTATATAGTACACTTCTTCCTAGTGGATAATAAATGATTATTGAAAAGGTTTGGATTCCTATATATAACTAGTTAAATAGCGCCCCCACGTGTTAATTTCCCATTGGATTTATGGAGGAGGGGCACTATTTAACTAGTTATATAGTACACTTCTTCCTAGTGGATAATAAATGATTATTGAAAAGGTTTGGATTCCTATATATAACTAGTTAAATAGCGCCCCCACGTGTTAATTTCCCATTGGATTTATGGAGGAGGGGCGCTATTTAACTAGTTATATAGTACACTTCTTCCTAGTGGATAATAAATGATTATTGAAAAGGTTTGGATTCCTATATATAACTAGTTAAATAGCGCCCCCACGTGTTAAATTCCCATTGGATTTATGGCGGAGGGGCGCTATTTAACTAGTTATATAATACACTTCTTCCTAGTGGATAATAAATGATTTTGGAAAAGATTTGGATTCCTATATATAACTAGTTAAATAGCGCCCCCACGTGTTCAATTCCCATTGGAATTATAGAGGAGGGGCGCTATTTAACTAGTTATATAATACACTTCTTCCTAGTGGATAATAAATGATTTTGGAAAAGTTTTGGATTCCTATATATAACTAGTTAAATAGCGCCCCAACGTGTTAATTTCCCATTGGATTTATGGAGGAGGGGCGCTATTTAACTAGTTATATAGTACACTTCTTCCTTGTGGATAATAAATGATTATTGAAAAGGTTTGGATTCCTATATATAACTAGTTAAATAGTGCCCCCACGTGTTAATTTCCCATTGGATTTATGGAGGAGGGGCGCTATTTAACTAGTTATATAGTACACTTCTTCCTTGTGGATAATAAATGATTATTGAAAAGGTTTGGATTCCTATATATAACTAGTTAAATAGCGCCCCCACGTGTTAATCCCCATTGGATTTATGGAGGAGGGGCGCTATTTAACTAGTTATATAGTACACTTCTTCCTAGTGAATATTAACGTATTTTCAACTATATCGAATTTTAATCTATTCTATCGTATTATTTTGGTTATTTTTACTAGATAATAAGGTGCATTTTATTATAATTGAAGTATTTTCCTTATTTTTTGTTTTTGGGGGTATTTTAAGGATATTTTTCATTTTTTTCTAAGGGGTCTTCGGGGGCGCTATTTAACTAGTATGCCCATTGGTGGAATATTGGGTTTGTAGAAAAAACTGGGACAGCCTTATGATAGTCTATATGTTATATATTCATATTTTTCGTTTTTTGGGTACCCGGTTTTTCCGACCGGGTACCAAGTTTGAACCCAGCATGGAGGATTTACTACCCAGTACCCGGTACCCATTTTTTCTACAAACCCTGGAATATTGTTACAGTCCTTATCTGATAGTGTTAAATTAGAGGAGGTTATACTTCTATGTAGGTAATTGTCAGACTTTGGAAGGCCTGTATTGAGTGTCCGACAAATATTGAGGACATTGCCTCCCTGTACTCTAGTGAAAACTTCCGATGCAGTTGTCAATTCCCTAATTTGTCACAAATTCTTTGATTGAATTTTACGTTTAGTCTTCACAGCATGAGCCTCAATAGTTACTGTACAAATTTTAATTTCAGAAAATGCTCGTATTAATCCTTCGGTATACTTACAATTGACGATCAAACGAGATTTATCAAGTGTTTAGCTACTCCATTCGTAGCTAGTAACAGAGATACTCGAAAATGGATCTGAATATTGAAGTCCATTTAGTCCTGTGTTCAAGCATGGGATTTCTTATTAGAAATTCCGTGTCTGTACAAGCTTATTTTGACAGGGATGAATAATTTCCAAAATATAGTCAGATGTAATTGAAACCAAATTTAATAGCATTTGAATTCAGTGTACAAACTATCCTAAATAGATGTTACTGAAAACAGTTTCAACTGTGTTTATCAATCCTATGTTTGGACGAGTTCATTCTGTAGTTTTTTAGAACTACAAAATGCAATTGGATGTGATTCTAGTCAGTTATTTGTGATGAACTAACGAAAGGTAGGTGTTCCTTGACTCAATTTTGGTCAAACTTCGTATACACTTGTATATGGAGAAAAATTGAAGAATAAGTCTAAATGAGAAAGTAAATAGATAATTCCGGCGTTGAGGCTCATGCTGTCAAAGGTATAATAGATATGTTATTAATTAAAGCTGTTATTTAATAGGCTATCCATGGCTTTAGAGAAACTGAGAGGAAGGAATGGAATGATGTTAATAGCGCAATAATTCAGAGGATCAAGAAAAAAGTCTTCCAGGATGCGACTCCTTTGGAGCATGTACACATCATTGATGTTGCTAAAGATGGATATATAAAGCCACATATAGATGCAGTCAGGGTAAGTGTTATTTCCAGATCTTCATGTTATTAAATGTTTCTGTTCATGATGACCCTTTTTATTTTCATTAGCTGACTAATAATTAAAGGTTTCTCTAACTCTATCCTATCAATTACTACTTGCTTAAATTGTTATCAGAAGTTCAAATCTGATTTTACCTTTAAGATTTTACCTTCAATGACATTTTCGAGGTCAAAAGGTTAAAAAAGTCAAAGAGGTCTTTTTTCAACTTGCTCCAAATGACCTTTTTTTCAAAATCATCTACAAGCTCTCAAAAGTTCAAATCTGTCTATAGCTTTGACCTCCAATGACATTCTCATGGTCAAAAAAAAGATTTGACCTTCAATGACCTTCTCAAGGTCAAAAAGGTCTTCTCCCATCTTGTATATTGTTATAAAACATATTCATTTTTATATTTGTAGTTTTGTGGTAGCGCAATAGCAGGGCTATGTTTGCTGTCCAGTGCTGTGATGAGACTAAGGCATGAAACCAAACCTGGCATCTTAGATTTATTGCTCAAACGTAGAGGACTCTACATAATCAAGTGAGTTTAAGTTATTTGCTCACAGATTTGAGTAAAGTTAGGAGAACTGTGAATTGGTTTTAAATGTGTAACAACCAGGAATTAAATGTGGGTCAGGCATAGTCAAGCAAAGATGTGTCTAAATGGCATTCAATGGCTAATTACACTCATTGATAAAATTATGCTTATGTATCTCATTCCATGAAAAAAATAGCTAATATCATTGATTGTATACATCAATTATTGTCCAGGGATGTATAGATACCTTCCAAAATCCAACTTCACGGACAACAGTTGGAAAAAAGCAAAAATTTATATATTGTTATATCACCGCCATATTATTTTTATCAGTGTCATGCAATGTTTCAACAATACTCCCCTATTTACCAAGTCATATTCCTGTTTTTCAATGGTAAGCCAAGGTTGAATTCCATAATCATTGGAACATCCAAATGCTGTAGTTACCCTTGTAATCATTAAATAGGCATTCTACCGTCTGACTAGCTCTAAATGATTTATAATTTCAATGCTGATTAGAAGTTAATGATGACTGTGAAATGTAGCTTTCATAGTATATCAAGTGTTAAGTGAGTGTAAGCTACTATTGCATTTATTGGATAGAAAATATAATGTTGTGAATTTTACAACATATAATATTCTAATTGGATGTATGCTAGATGAAATAAATATGTCTTATTTAAAGAGTAAATATGAAGGTAAGCTCATATAAAGGTTGATTTGGTGTTTGTTTCAGAGATGCTGCCAGATATGACTACACACATGAGGTATTAAAGTCAGATGAGTCCCATTTCAAGGGAGAGGAGGTCACCAGGGAGAGGAGAGTAGCTATTATATGTAGGAGTGAACCTAGGCCACAGGATATACACTGAACAGTATGTATAATTCAGTTTAATTTAGCATGTCAGAAATTTTTGTTCTGAAAGTCACAATATTGTTCCAAAATCTACACTTACTCAAGGGCCTAGCAGTTAGCAAAATGGATTACATATAAAAATTTACTGTGAAACATTTAAAGTATAAGTAATATGAAAATATGTTACAATAAAATAACAAAAACAGATACTGGAAATAAAGAATATAGATGATCAATAGACTATACTTTATTGGTGAAGAGGGGGAAAATCCCAGGGTTTAGAAATGACATACGTCTATAATGTAAATGTGAATTGAGATATGACATCGTCGCTGATTGGTCAAATCAACAGACAAATGACATCATTCAATGGTGGTTTCAAAATTGTCTAAAAACACTTAGAATAATGTTATGTTAATATCTGGTGTGTTAACTATCACCATAGCTTGTTAAAATGTTATTTCACATTTCACATCAAGATAAAGGAATGTATATGGATTACAGTATTCTATCATCGATTAACGATTAACGTTGTGTGGTATTAGGAAACTAGCCAGTGATAATTAGAACAAACGAAGGTGGTAAGCAAGAGACATAATGACGACTGTGTCATGTCTTCCCTCCTCCTTTATTGGTGAACAAACTGAATGTGATGTAGAATTACTACTGCACAGTTGCCATCTATTAATTCAAATCAGATATTAGTAATGGAAGTGACCTGTAATAAATCCCAAAAAATAATGAGCCTGCATAGATGTCCAAAACATGGTACCAGATTTTCTTAAAAAAGAAATCAGTTATCCAGAAAGCCTATAGAATGTGTCACAGGAATATGTTTAACACATTCTGAAGCAACGTGTAAATAGGGGAGGGAGTTGAGTTTTCAAATAGAGAAAACATAATGACCGATTAAACCTTGGAATAAAGAATGTGTGAATGAAAGTGGTTAATTATTAACTTAATGAAAAAATGGCCGCCTTTAAGTTATAAGGCTTTTTACCTAAAGTTGAAGAAAGTGTTGTCCCTTCTCATACATGTTATGAATATTAACAAACATAACATCATATTGAAAAGTACATGTATGAGACATTCCATCTGATGCATTTGTTCCTTTCCCCCAGCATGGCTGAAATGATAGCACTATAATGAAGTATTCAAAGTTCTCTTAATAGAGTTTCAACAATAGATAGGGCTAACCATAGTTTTTTCCTATGCCTGCACCATCACCATGGTAATGTCAAACACAATACAAATTCAAAGTTATGTTGACCCACTTTCTTTATTTTATAATCTTTTGACTGTTTAATAAATGTCAATTGAATACAGACTTCACGGCTAGCTTTTTGACACACTCATTTTTTAGTATCCCATCGAACGAAGTTCGGAGGGACATAGGGAACGCCTCCGTCCGTCCATCTGTCAGTCCGTCCATCCGTACGTACGTCCGTCCGGGCAATAACTCAAATACCGTTGGCCCGATTTTGTTCATATTTTGTACACATATACCCTATGGGGGTAGAAGTTCTGCTCGAAAGCGGATTTTCAAAATGGCCACTCATTTCAAAATGGCGGCCATTTTAGTGCCGAATTTACAGTAATTTAGGTGCAATATGTAAAATTGTAATAGCAATATGTTTAAGATGTAAAAAAATTATATAGGACATTAATAAAGCTAGAAATGTAGATATTAAAGAAGCACATGGCAGCCATCTTGAAAAATGGCGGCCTTTACTCTTTATTTTACGATTTTTGCTGTAACTCGAAAAGTAGTGGAGCGATTTTGTTCATATTTGGTATGTGAATACTACAAACATTGCACACTGTCTAAAGACACTTTTGGTAGAAGGCAGCCATTTTAAAAAATGGCCGCCATTTTGAAAAATGGCCACCATTTAAACGTATTTTACTATAACTCAAAAAGTAGTGGAGCCATTTTGTTCATATTTGGTATGTGAATACTATAAGCATGACACACTGTCCTATGACACTTTTGGTAGAAGGCGGCCATTTTGAAAAAAAATTTGAAAAATGGCCGCTCGAAAAGTATGGAGCGATTTTGTTCATATTTGGTGTGTGAATACTAGAAGCATGACACACTGTCCTATGACACTTTTGGTAGAAGGCGGCCATTTTGAAATAAATTAAATGTATTTTACTATAACTCAAAAAATAGTGAAGCGATTTTTTTCATATAAGGTATGTGAATACTATAAGCATGGCACACTGTCTAATGACACTTTTGGTACATTTTAACGTATTTTACTATAACTCGAAAAGTAGTGGAGCAATTTTACTAATGGTACATTTGGTAGAAGGTGGCCATTTTGAATAATGGCTGCCATTTTAACATATTTTACTCTAACTTGAAAAGTAGTGGAGCGATTTTGTTCATATTTGGTATGTGAATACTATAAGTATGGCACATGGTCTAATGACACTTTTGGTAGAAGGTGGCCATTTTGAAAAATGGCTGCCATTTTTGCTATATACTTTATTTGTAAAAATGCCATCCATGGCTGTTCGATGGGATTCGCTACGCTTTGGCGTTGCCGTTGCTCTGGTTTAATAAGTGGCACTATAATGACCATTAAAGTGCAATATTTACCAACAATTTAGTGCTGCTCCATGAAGGCAAACTTTTCAGTTAATTAAATTAAAAAGAAACTTATGGAAACAATGAATGCAAACTGCATTTTTATGATGGACTTTATTCAGGAATTTCCTTGGTCATGTAAACTTTTGTCAGAAAGCATAACATATTAGTACTCCTCTATGTTTTTAACCAAACAACCTGTGATAGCTTTTGGTTTTATTTGGCAATTGTCACTTGTTGACAAACTGATAAGGCCACTTTAGCTCTGCCATAGTACCACTTTACAGTGATCTAGTTAGATATCATATAGAATAACACAACTTGGCAGACATACATAGTCCATGTAGTGAACCTTTTGTAAACATTCTTAAATAAATCTATTAATTAATGATGAACATGGAGATAGAAAAATGGGATTATTTGAACTGATTGTTTATTAAATAGGAACTGATGTAGAAGGTAGGCTATTGTAGCTTTGGCTCGTTTACAAAGTGAACACTTTCTCTTTACAGACATGAGCAAGGAAATATAAAAAGTCATCAGCTGGCAGTTGTAAGTAAACACTAAGTGGTCTTTTACACAATAAGCACAAAGTGGGGTCAAAATGAGCATTGGAACTTGTGCAAATTTAGCAAATTATGTGCTCTTGGTTTTCGAGTTTTGAAACACATTACAGTAAAATGTAAATAGCTAAATAGTCACTCCATATTTTGTAGGCTTAGTCTGCTCTGTTCAGAGCTCAAAGTCCCATTTATGTTTTTGCAAGCTGACTAAAATATCTGTCTCTTGTGCATGTGTTGTAATACTGACTCATTACAGATACATTGTAACTCTATATTTGAAGATTCTTCTTGCCAAATATTAAATATTGGGTCTATTTTCAAGAAAGTATTTGTTTGAATAATTGAACTCACTCCAACAGTTTGAATTACAATTGTTTGATCATAAAATGTAGATGCTTTGATACAAGAACATTTATTGGATTTATATTGTTAAGTCCAATCTTGTTCCTGAAATGAAAATAATTGGAAATTTAGTTTGAAGTAGAATTGATTTATGTACAAACTTTGATTCATTGGCTAGTATCGACTTATAAACCTATTTTATTGGTTCAAAAAAGTTTACTCAGTTTATAATAGAATTTGAATTGTTAACTTAAGTGCAATGAAATGTTATATTCTGTCTGCTTTATGCTGTGTTATTTACATAAACATTTCTGTTAATAACCATTTTAAATGTTACAATGACATAAGAACACGAAGAAAGTTTTTGATAAGTATTTTATGCATATCCCCTGCATCTACATACTACAAAGGCCTGCACCAGGATATTAATGTAACAATAGTCAAGTAACTTTTGAGTATCCCCTGGAGGATATTTATCAAAGCAGCATCAGATGAGAGAGAAAGCACTTCAAGAGAATGAAATAAGGAATTCAGGTTTGTGTAAACATACATAATGGAACTATGATTCTTTGGGAAGAATCTGAACTGTATACTACACTGTAAGTCACTGGACCTGTTAATTGAATGTAGGCTAATGCCAAGGATTAAACAAGATAATTAGTTAATGTCATGCTCAATGGGGCTGGAAGCATAGCTATACATGATGATCCATATGTAGGTCTACTTTGGGTTTCAGTAAGTTGGTTTCCATATTTCCTTGTATAGAGACTCTATGGCTCTATTGGACTGTTTGTAAGCGGTGTCTCTGATTTCTATTTTCAAGTATTATGATTATTAGGAGATTTTAAGCTGTACTTATGGTAAGTAAGGTTAATGACATTACATTTTATTCATGAAAAAGTTGTTATTTATGATGCAATTTATATACCACTTAGATTTTTTGTTAAAAAGCATGTTGTTAGCAAAGAAAATGGATTCATATGAGGTAAGAAGAAAACTTTGATTCAATGGAGGTTAATGCCAAGGATTAAGCAAGACAATCAGTTAATGTCATGCTCAATGTTTGAGGAATAGAATAAGGGTAAGTTCTTATCTTTTTTACTAAAAAATGGTGACATATTGTTATCGTGTCCATTTTTTGTGACGGTGGTTGGCGATCAGTGGTTGGCAATTGGCAGTTGGCATCCGTAACAAATGGTGGTGACATTTTGACCGAGACCTCCTGATGCTAGCTGTGAAATTCTAAGATAATAGAAAAATCAAAGCCAAACTCTTTACAAAGTTACTCAATGTTCTATATACATGTGTATTGCTAAGTGATTTACATGCAAAAACATGTTCATTTATTAGAGTTGGTACACATAGTGGGATGAATACGGTATGCATGTACATATGTAGGTGTTGTCAGAGCTACAATATTGGCATTATCCTCAATCTAACTTAAGTGCTTTCCCACATTTTCTGGTAAATGTAGATTTATGATGTGAATAAAACTTTATGATTATTATTCCCAGATAGATAATCCTCATAGAACACATATGCTTATAGATAAACTCAGATATTAAGAGGGTTAAGGAGTGCATGTACTATGTAGCCAAACTAGAATCACTTGTAGCTGAGATCTCTTATAAGTTATTTAATAAGATAACATGAGAGTCAAGTATCTGATTAGGACATCAATGTGATTATATAAGTTTGAAAGTGTTAATTACTGCCATATAATGGATGTAGCTTGTTATATGTTTGTGTAAAACTTGGAGCTCATTATAAGGTAGGTGAAAAAGGAAAATGTCATGTTTTGCAAAATTAAAAAAAATTATGTTTAATTCAAATTCATGGCATGTGAAAGAACTGATTTAGTCCATTTTGTCCCAGTGTATGTACAGTGTGGGCCAAAAAAACAAAACCCGAGTTTAAAGATGAATATCATTATATATATGTTAAGTCATGCCATGCATTATGTATCATATCAAATTGAAAAACTACTGTTTTCATTCTTGCGGAGTTAAAGGCTAAAATTGGGGGTGTCATGAGTGACCAAAAAATTATTCATTGCTGATTTCCAAATTGTGGAAAATGGAGGGAAATTTGAACTTCGGCACCTTCAAAAGATGTACAGTTATACAAGTTTAGTGCAAAATTCACTAATGATACTTATATCTTTTTAATTAATTATTATTATTAATTGTATCTTACTCCTAAATGAATTTATAATGATTTAGTCAAGCATATTGAGTGCAGCTGTGACTGCAATATGAAGAGAAATGTGAAGGGAATTTTCATTTTTTGATTTTTTCTTGCTCATGACATCCCTGGTGTCACTTTTAGCCTCCAAATCCACAAAAACAGAGGTTTTTCAATCGAATGGTGTCATATTGTTATGATTTATGTTTAAAATGATATATAATACGAGGCATGGTTTAAGATGTACCATATGAATCATTCATCTTTAATCTTGGGTATTGTTTGTTTGGGCCACCCTGTATATGGAAAATGATGTTATAGAAAATATATGTATGTTTGTACTGGTTGAATCTGCTTCCTGGAGTAAACATTTTACAAATCCTTTGTAGTCTAATTATGTTCTGAAGTTTTTTAGATTAAGTGATATCTCGAAAATGTTAAAATCGTTCGTACCCTTTTTATCTCCGATTTTAAACCATTCTAAGTCATTTATTTCTTGAGATTTGACACATAACACTTTGTATACAGTAATGCAAGAGGCGCAAGAGGCAAAGATATATGGTATGTGTTATATCTAAGATCTTTTTTGATAGGCTCAAGTAGCATCCTAAATCAGGCTAAAGTAGTTAACTGATTAACTAACTCTTCAAATTAACTCTGTTAAACTACATTGTATTTCCTTTATTCCTTCTTAGTTCCCAAATGATTTTCTTTTATCACATTGTATTGTAAGAGCTTTGGCATTAATAGGCCTCCATCCAGCAGTATATTGTTTGTTAACCTAAATCAGTCTGACTCCCTATGTTTACCCTGTCATACATGTCCAATTATTGTACCATAGACAGTATTTGTTACACTGGTTACTCAATTTTCTTATATAGATTAGTGTCTGACTTGAATGCAGATGGTTCTTGCATTCTGCTATTTTAGCAATTGAAGATACTCATGTAATAAGTAGGGCAATCGACTCTTCTCTAAAATTAAATCGAAAAAACTGCATTCATAGCTATCATACTGTAGCTATCTTCACTGGGGGTATCTTGCATTGTTCGAGGTGATAACTCTTTGTTCATATGAATGAGTAAGATTCAAAAGCAGACCCATAGCCAGGGGGTTTTGGGGCCAAAAATTCTTTCAAAATCATGCAGTTTTTTACCATTTTGAGCTGTTGTCAAAAGTGACCCCCCCTGGAATGTTCTAAAAAGTGAACCCCTTGGCAAATCCTGGCCAAGGGTCTGAAAAGTGTGTACATGTACTTGGGAATTGTGACTTAGCATTTGGCTTAATTATTTGTGTCGTCACACATGTTCATTCAAACTCAAGTACACAAAATATAGGTAGCAACTAAGGGCGGCATTCTGTGAAACAAAGCCTTTCTTGATTTCTTATCAAGGTTGATAAAAATAAGCCAATTTTAAATGATATTTTTCATGTTCAAGTATTTTGCAAGCCTATTTTCAAAATGCATGGGAGATCACTGAAGTGTTATCTTCAATGACATACGAATTAACACTTTGTTCTTTTAATAACAGTATCATGCATGTCATGTTATGTTATATAATACAAACAAAGAGATAAGCTACATGTTTCACTTCCCCGAGGGGTTTCATGTGATGTGCCAGTAATTGTATACAGTATGTATTTAATATCACATGTACATGCATAATGATCACGTTTGTTTGCCATATATTACATCAGAGGTATCCTTTTATGTATTTGCAGGTAAGGGTGACTGATCATATACGCTCGCTTTATACACCTACAAGGTGGAGTGCCAAAACTATAGACTGGCACAACAACTATTGAGGAAGCTTTAGCCTAACTGAATATTACGTCTCTGTGGGCTTACCGTCAACGATTATTTTCTCAAAGTGAAATGGCTGCGTCTGCAGAGCTAAGTCTGGATATGGAAGTTCAGGCTTCAGAAGTTATCGAGATAGAAGAGGATTTAGAAAAAGACTTTGAAGAACTTGGTCATGATTTAGAAATTCCTACAAGGAGGGACCTAAGTGAGTCTACTAACACTGTATTAAAAGACATTACACCTGTTATTGATGACAATTTGGCAGACTCTCATAGAGACAAGAATGTCAGTTTTAAAGGAAATTATATTGTCAATGACCGTATTACTGTTCCTAAAAAATATGCAGTTGAAGAGAACCCTGATTATATCTATTGGAAGACGACTAATGCACGCCTTCTCGTGAAGAGTCAGCAGGACCTAGTGCGTAACTTACAGTTCATGAAGGAGGGGCTGGGGCGCATGGAACAGGAGATCAACACATTGAAAGAAGGACTGGTCTTCTCGAGGAGATGCAATAATGTCAAAACAATGCTTTTCAGCCCAGAGGGATATTCAACATGTTAACAGGTTTGCATGGTGGGATTCATCAAAGCAAACATTGGATATGTATATTTAAAGAACTATTAAGTAGTGTGTGATTTCCCAAAATATTAGATATATCCTGAAAAAAAGCTTTGCATTGTGAGATTTTCTGTAGCCAATATGGAATATACATGGCTAAGCAATGCATACTAAGTCAGCCACAAGATACAAGAGCCGAGCTTCACATGATTGATAATGTGCATGCATTTTTAGTGATGCTTCACTATTTAATGGACTGGATATTGGCCTGAAACCAACTAATGCTTAGTAACTAGAAAGTAGACAACAGGAGGATATACTATATGGTGTTCAATTTAGTATCATGGATATATTTGTTATAATTTATCATTTGGAAGTGGTGGTCTTACATGTATATGTTGATCTGTCCATCACTCCATATGACTATTACAGAAAATATGATACAATATTTCAGGATGACATTGATCCTATCAATGATAGATTAAAAACTTATTTGCTATTTTACATAATAACATCGACAGTAGAAATATTTTTTGGAATATGATTGCTTTATTTAGTTACTACCAGAATCAAAGGTGAATACATACAAATAAGCTTACATATTGTATAAAAAATATAAAATGAACACAAAAACTAGAACGAGGCTGATAGGTGCACCTCCTAGCTATCAGCAGTATTCAAAAATCATATTTCTGCATTGTTACACATATGCATACTAAATGGATCTTTAAGTTTATCAATTTCATTTACTTAATTATGCAGTCATGTTGCCCTTCTTTTCAATAATGTCATTTATTCACATGGACTCATGGTTGGCTGAATAATCATTTATTTTGCACAGTAGGCCAAAATTGGTTTTGGATAAAGTTTTAGAGATTACAACAGTCAGTGCACAGGTCTGGTGCTATCTCCTGACTTTACTTTTTGTGACCTTTTCCTTTGAGGCTATCTCAATAGCAAAGTGTTCACCACCCCTCAACAACATTGCAACATTGTAAAGAGGAGAAATGTAGCTTCATGGTACATTGAATGAAATAGATGCAGTCATCACTGATTTTATGGTTTTACAATTTATTTGTTTGTTGCATTTTTTGAACACCCTGTATCTTCAATAATAAATCCGAAAATCGTGAATTCCAAAAATTTGGGAACACAAGGAAGCATTTCCAAAAGTTCTAAAATCAGATGGATTGGGCAAAAAGTCAGTTTCATGCCAGCCCTAACCAAGCCCATTTGGAAATGTAGGTGTTTTACATGGGTTTATTGAAGGGATGCTTGATATTTTGATTGGGAAATCTATCATATCACCCCGAAGTGATGGCTTCTGAGTGTATATGGGAATGGATATACATGCATACTGTTTAATAGATATACATCTTAAATAATATCATCAGTTGTAGTTTTGCAATTTATTTAAAAAAATAAAACAGTTAATGTTAAGTTTATTAAATGAATTTATGGCACACTATTTTTCTATTTAAATGAAGCACATTGAATGATCACAACTTGGCTATACATGACATACCCACACCTCAAGAAAAATGGCCCTGATATCATATTCATTGAGCAATTTAATGGTACACTTTCTCTTGAAAAAGTAAAACTTCCAGATTTGTTGAATTTTCTAGCAGAAATCGCCTGGCCTCCCTCTGTTCATTTTGTCCAATCACCAGGCAGGGTAACATTACACACCCAATCTGTTGCATTACAATACTACAGTATATGTTTTGAATGATGTAACGTTACACACACAATTGTTTTATGGTGTACCAATTACAATATATATTTTGAATGATGTAACATTAAACACATGTGTTATGAATGATGTAACATTAAACACACAATTGCTTTATGGTGTTACATTACAATATATGTTTTGAATGATGTAATATTACACACAATTGTTTTATGGTGTTACATTACAATATATGTTTTGAATGATGTAATATTACACACAATTGTTTTATGGTGTTACATTACAATATATATTTTGAATGATGTAACATTACACATACAATTGTTTTAAGGTGTTACAGTACAATATATATTTTGAATGATGTAACATTACACACAATTGTTTTGTGGTGTCATATTACAATATATGTTTTGAATGATGTAATATTACACACAATTGTTTTGTGGTGTTACAATTCAATATATGTGTTGGATGATGTAACATTACACAAACAATTGTTTTAAGGTGTTACATTACAAATATATGTTTTGAATGATGTAACATTACAGGTACAATTGTTTTATGGTGTTACATTACACATTACACAGCTTACACTTTGAAGCACATATATATTCTTTGGTTTTTAAGTTCAGCTGGTTGCGTCACAGTGCTGAGGTGATGTTTGCATTCTTATTGGTTTTCTTGGTATGAGTGATTGCTGTCATCAATGGTATATAATTATGCTGCTGTGCAGTAATCAATAAATAATAACAGTTATCAATATGTATAATATAATCGTCAATAATGGAACATGTTCTTGCTAATGAGGCACATTCAAATATCAAGGAGATTATATGATATGGTTGATGCCGCAAGGTTCATATGTACATAAGTATTACAATGAGATACATAATACATGTACAGTTAATATACAGAAATTTAGTGTTGGGACAAAATATTGCAATTATCAAAGATTTTAATAATTACAGTTTTTCATATTTACAGTATGAAAAAAAATAGTACAAATTTGCCTGTTTAAACCAATCCTGTCTCTTATTAGTAAACCTAATGAGTAACTAACTATGAAGTGTTGTTTAACAGTAATATATTACACAGTATGTGGCATGGCATAGGGCATTAGGGCAATATCACTGACATTAATAGAGTTGTGTATGTAGTACCTTGGGAGAATAGCTTGTCATACATTGGCATACATTTCCAGCTAACAACGATTTAATTAAACAACCTCCCGCAAGTAAAACTAAGGAAAAGTCATTTTTGTGATGATATATTAAGGTTTGTAGGAATTAGTGAGGGATGTAAGATATTTTCATGATATGAATTATCATTTAAAGAAAAATAGGTACTTAGATTGAATTCTGAGAGAAAATTGCATTGAATAAAGTGCTGACAATAAATAAAGGCCATGGTAGTCTATTTACACAAGTCTCTAAGATGTTGTCTTTTGGAAAATCTATAACTCCCAAGATATTAATGCATACACAGTATAGCACCATAATGTATCTATCTCAAAATAGTTTTGTTTGATTGGAAGGTATTACATGCTATAGAATCAATTGCATTACCTGTCGATGCTGCATATGATATTAGATGCCGCAGTTAGATAAGCACAAGCCATATACTGTATGTTAGAGCAGTATTGAACCTCAGGACATCATCATTGTCAGGGAAAGGACTATTGGAAATTGAATTTCTGGATTCAGTACACAGTCTCTACAGTTGGCGCATATTTCAGGCAGGAAGAATCCTCGGCAATATGATGAAAGAAGTGGATAATGAGGTATGTTATGTTGTTGATAATGTAGGTGATATTATTGTTTTTATCTGGCTATTCATATCATAGACAGAGGTAATACATAAACATTGGTAATTACATTTTTTTTGATAGATTTCTATGACATGGTGAAAAAACATTCAAGATGATTACCACTGTGCTAGTGTTGTTAATAATGTAGGTTTTTATCTGGCTATTCATATCATAGACAGAGGTAATACCTGCTACACATTGGTAATTACATTTTCCCAGAATTTTTGATAGATTTCTACGACAGGTGAAAAAAAACATTCAAGATGATACCACTGTGCTGTAAAAACAGTGTGGTTGATTTATTGAGTAGCATCTTTAACATTGAGTGTGTTCATGAAGGTGCTGAACTTATATATATAGGTTAATTGCTATTTCATAAAATCGTAGATAGTCTATGGAAGAAGATTTTCTAAAGAGTAATGATTTTTTACTTACTACAGGGTGTCAAAAAACGGACCGTAAGAAACTTGAATAATTTAGTCAATTTTGCCTTGAAATTTTAGAATAATTTAGTCCATTCAATGTGAATTTTGTTCTGAAATGATGTAAGCCCCAATAGCAATTGTTCTTGGAATAAACTTGGAATATTCAGAAAGAAATCCGGATTGAATTGTGGGCAATGTGCATAGAAAGGAGAGGTGCACATTTGGGGCATGTTTCTGTCTGGAACTTTAGTTTTTGATTTAATAGATTGGGAGGTTATTATCAAGCTTTCACAACAAAACTCACTTTGAATGAACTTAATAATTCTGAAATTTCAAGACAAAATATGCAAAATTGAGTTATGCAACTTTCTTACAGTCCTGTTTTTGGACACCCTGTAGTTCACATTGGGTTAATTTTTAAATATTTCATGTATGTATGTTTTTAATGTGAATGATCAGAAAGTTGGTATGACATCTAGACTGTAATTGGCAAACCGCAAGGCAATGGTTGTATCAAAAAATGACTTTTGGCATTTTTCTATGTCCTAATTTAGATATTATCAGATTTTATGCCTACATGCAGTCATCATTGGAAGAATGTTTATTGTATTGAAATATTTGACAGAAAGCAACCATTATATTGACCTCGTTAACCTATTAAAATGACCTCACCAATACTTTGTAGCAAATACAATGACCTGACCAAACCAATACAGGTACATATCCAACCAATTTGATGACCTCTTCAAAATATAGTGACATTGCCGTTACAATACATGTAGAACCACTGACCTCGTCATAATTTTATTTGCAATAGATGTTTCTGATAAATTGTGCCATCTTTTGATCCATCAGAGAAACCACAATATATTGGCAAGTTTGATGATGTCATTGGCTGTAGGTAGCAATCTGTCCATGCAAAAATAGTATTACCTTATTGCTAATTTTGAAAAAGTACAACCTATGACCTCATCAAGCCCACCGATATATTGTGGTTTGATCAAAAGATGGCATGATTTATCAGAAACATCTATTACACATGACAGGATGTGTCGTATTCTCTAAAATATTTTCTAGGATATGTTCTAATATTGCATGTTCTAGGATGTTTGTCAATAGCATGTGCTGTTCCTTTTAGGATGTGTTTTATGATCTACTGAGGAAAGCTGGCAACAAACTTGTTGTGGTTGACTTCTGGGCATCCTGGTGTGGCCCTTGCAAAATGATTGGTCCCCATTTTGAGGTAATGTATAGATTCACAATACTAAATACTGGTGTGCAGTATCCAATAAAATATGATATGAGGTACTTTAGAAATGTACATTAGTCATTAAAGTACAACGAGGCCTGTAAGGTGGAACACTTCAAAGTTCCAAGACTATAAGATGAACATCTCCCAAGTGGAAAGCCTTTTAGAGGTGTTTCTTTGTACATGTATAATACTTGAGTAGGAAAACTGAAAATGAGTGGACTTAAAGGTTGTTTGATTCAATGGACAATTTTGAGATTATTTATTTTAATTGTAAATGTAATAATATGTTGGCATAATTAATAAATGATATTTATTTGAACTGAAAGGTAGTATCAGATCCAGTGAGCAACCTTAAGAAAAAATGTCTAAATTTTTGAACATTTTTGGCTCATATCAATTCTTATATTTTCTAAAAATACCCAGAAGTGCATACATTATTTGAGGAAAACTAAAGATTTCTACCATACTTGATTCATTATTTATATCAATAATAACAAAGTGAATCTAATTAACTTCACAAATTCATAACACATCATGGATCTTTTGGGAGATATTATATTTTAGATTGTAAGGAATACATCAGTAGGTCAGCTGTACATGTTGCTTGCAATTTTGTAACCCCCTGTTGATCTGATCCTGCCTTTAAATAACATCCAATTGCTATGGAAAATAATTGATCCAGAACAGACTTTGGTAGTCTTGCATCAATCTCATCTTTTACCATCCCCCAAAGTCTTTCATACACAGGGACAGAAAAAAGATAAAGGAAGAACTCATGGCTTGATGTAAGATTTTAGCATATGATATTTCACTAAACATTGCAATAAATGTTCATATTGCAGAAACTGTCAGCTGATGAAGAGTTTAAAGATGTTGTATGTATTAAGGTGGAAGCGGAGGTGTGTGAGGTTAGTAATAGAGTTCCTCCTTATACATAATATCCTCTTAATAGAGTATGTCAATAACTTAGTACCATTTAATTGATTTTTATGTGAATACCTCACTGATGGCTAAATGGATGACTCCAGGTATTAATTGATTGCTTTTTCTGTCTTCTGTTATGTCAACCTTTCGTAACAGTTTCATTGTGCAAGTCTCCATGGAGGTTTATTGGGAAAACGGAGTGATACTGAATTTAATCATTAATGTGGCGATATACCTACCTTATATCCTCTTGAAACTTAAAATAAGTCAGTTTTGTTATGCCACAAAGATGTAGAGAATAATTGTAAGAAGTGTATTTTCTTGCCATTGATCAACCTATTGTACATGCATACGGTATTGGCTTACTGCAGAGAAAATCACTTGGGTTATCATGTTTCATTAGTGAGGATTAAATCTTCTGAATATATTTCCATTTTTAGAGCACCATTGAAGTTGCTTATAGCAAACATTGAGCTTCCCAATAAATTCACTATGGCATTTTCTCATACTGTATTTGCAAGACCAAAAATGATGAAAGGAAAATACTTCTTTATCCTCTTGTAATGTTTTTCTTAATAAGGTTATTAAAAAATTTTGTCATCTCGTGTTTTTTTTGTCATGTTGTCCCACTTGGATTTGAGGGGAGGGAGTGTGGTGTTTTGCACCAAGTCTCTGTCCTCTATCACTAACTAACCTAACCTTGTTAAAGGTAATCCGTAAAGAGGGTAAGGTTTGACACACAGGGACTTCATCATCATTGAATTCAATAGGCCTATCATAAATATTAATTTTTCTTAGTGAGGTCTTTCCCTTTTAGCTACTGTACTTGTACATTTCTAATTCCAGGATTTGGCAGAGGAATATGAAGTCGAATGTATGCCAACATTTGTGTTCATTAAGAAAGGAGAGAAAATAGACACAATGCTAGGAGCCAATAAGGCCAAGCTTAGAGAGATGATGACACAGTATAAGTGATTGTATAAACAACATGAATTGCATATAGGATGATTCAATCAGGGTGCAAAACAATTCATTATTTGTGACAACTGTTGGTGCAATCAAGAGTACGAGTCAGATATTTCCAATCATGCAAGCCTTTCAGTATATAGGAAAATAATGACACCTTGTCCGCAAACCAATTTTCAAACACCCTGTATTAAAAAGATTACATTTTAGTTGTTGTGTTTGTGTTGTTACATAATGGTAATCTAGTACAGCAAATGGATATATCATATGTACTATTTTTACAATAAGAACACCTCAATGGGATTCAAGATGCATCATTGACTCGTTACACTGTCAAAAGGGATTAGAAAACGATGAAGTTTATCCTTATGGAATAATAACTAGATAATGGCAACTCCGCGGAGTAGCAAATCCCAACGAACAAAATATCAATTACCGAATTCCAATCAATTATACTCATTACTTTGGTTAAAATTGAAAAAATTAGATTTTAGAATTGCGAATTCCTGCTAAGCAGCCATTTTGAAATTTCTGAGGTACAAATCTGAAAAATAATACCATAATTGTGATCTACTCCAAAAATCCTTCAATTTGAGTATAATATAGCCATACTTTGAAGGGATCGAAAAATTATTGCGAAATCGTACATTAGATGGCCATTTTGAATTTTACGAGGCTCGAATCAGAAAAAAGATACAATATTTGCAATCTACTCTTAATTGCCTTTCATTTGAGTATAATAAAGCTATACTTCAGAAAGATCTAAAAATTAGCGAAAATTTCTGTTTTCCTGACCCCCCATACACGGCCCCTGGGGGTCAGGATGAAAAACACTGAATATATGTGAAATAGATAAATGTTGTGAATATACTACCAAAATTTCAAACAATAATATTAATTACTTTGGTTTAGAATGAAAAATTTATGATTTTTGCGAAAAAGTCCCATCATTTTTAAAGCGCCGGCCATCTTGAAAATTTTTTTTTTTGCGTAAAACTACTCATCAATATACATCTTTCCACTAAATATGAAGAAAATCCGTCTACTAGTATTTGAGTTATCTTCCGGACGGACTGACGGACGGAGGGCTTCACTATATCCCTACCGAACTTCGTTCGTTGGGATAATAATCTTGTTTTGACCGGAGAGTGGTAAAGGTTTCACTGTGTGAAAATAATTTTGAAGAGTTTAGTGTCACATTTGAATCAACCCCTAATGATGTAATAGTCATATGACTAGAAATTGACATTCTTACAATGTTGTCCCAAAATTCAGATTGACCTTAAAGAAATTGAACAATAACAATTATTTAATAAAATTAAGTCACTTTCTTATTCCACACAACAAAATGTAATGACCTTTTACCCCCTCCCCAATTGTAATCAAATACATTATTGGGTGTACAACTAATGCCTTGGTCACATATGCTCCCATCCATCGGCCGGCGCCAGGCGGATTGAGTGTTTTTTTCGATATTGTATTCAATTTTGAACAAAATACTCAATCGGCCAGGCGCCGTAGTGAAAATCGGAGCAAATGTGACCAAGGCATTACTGGGCTATAACCTTAACCTTCAAATAAATGGTAGTATTAATGTAGCAGGCCTAGGTGTTAATTGGAAGGCATTAGCAAATACTTTGTTATCCAGAATCTAGGGATCAAATACCTTAAATGGGCATTTGAAAAAACAAATTTTACCATGTGTGGTCCTTTTTGAATTGCAAAGGGGTAATCTCAAAGTATAGATGTACAGCAATTAATAATAATGATTATATTTGGTGTTGAGAGGATAACAGTTCAAACTTGACCTTGACCCAAATTACATGCTAAATACCTTGTTCTGTGTACAGAAGTAACTGTGTAATAAATTGTTGTTATCATGTACAATATATGTTACATAAATAAAATGTGAAATAAACAAAAAAACAAATGTTTTATACATTTCAAATGGTCTCACTTTATTTAATGCCCTCTTGCATCTACAGTCTTCACAATACAGAAACATTTTAACAGGGAGGGGCCAACCTTAACAGTGACCTGGATGCAAAATCTATGAAATATTATTACGAGTGATCAATGCGACAATGTTTCTAAAATGACTAGGGAACCTATATCGTGATTGAAAAAATAAAAGATGAAGTCAAACTACAAAAAAAGATTATGCATCCAAGTTTTTGCTCAAGAGTAGCCCCTCTTAAACTAAATGACATAATGTGCCATGTTCTCTAGACATTCACACTGTATATGTACGAGATAATAATATCACCTTCCAGGTAATGTTTAGTAGTCCGAACATTCTATTTACATCACAGCTTGGGCTACTATAACAAATATGAGAATTCACCTGGTGGCTCTGAATGAAAGAAATATAAAATGGACTTTCATAATAAATTATAATTAGCACTTCATTCATAAATATATTGCCTAATTAAATTAGATTTAAGAATTGTCATCATTTTGATTGCAAATGTGAAAGGACAAAAATAAAATTTCTAGCTTTGTGAGGCTTCCACATTGTTCAACTGTGTGCACCACCTTTGCAGCTTTCACATCAGTTTGAGTATTCAAAATAAGGGACATTGAATTTGAAACTTATGCTCATTGATCATACACATTTATATATTGAGAATGCTGCTTTATGGTAATATTATATTATATAAGAATAACATTGCAACTTTTACTTCAATTTTGATATTGCATTCTTAACCAGTGAAAGCAGTTCTGTTTGTGACAACAGTTTATGGTTCTAATTTATTGTTCCTTATTTCATTTTCAACTATTCCATCAGGATCTTTGAATTAACACATAATTGTAACACAACCATATCATTCAATGATGTGTCACCTTTCTTACAATATGTGGAGATTCATCCTCCAAACAGGGTTTCTTCCTTCTTCATAAGAGGTACAAATTATGAAACACTGTATGGAGGGTGTAATTCTTTGTATGAGGGAAGAAATAAAATCTCACAGTTTATCCTATATATTGGAATATAACCACATTTCAAAACTGTCTTTGTTGTAACAAATTACATCTGATAACTGAGTTTAAATACATATACTGTATATTATTGAAAAAAAGATGTAGTTTAAACATAAAATGAAAATCATTGTATATTACATACATTTGTTTTATAATTTAACTAATAATGACTGAGCCTACAGTGACCAGTTGCTCCTGAGGCAGGTTTGACCAAACTAGGCTTTCAATGAACTGTATATATACATTATGAAGTCAAAATACGAGCAATGAAATGTATTGTGTAAAAAACTCGCACTCATCTCAAACCTGCCTCTTGAACAAGGGCACGTTTATACACTACATATATGACATTATATTTACGATATATAAATGAGGCAAAATCTGTACATATGATACACCAGGAGTCCTGGTCCTGGATATACATAGCCACATGGCAATTTGAGGAGCCAGTGCAGCAAAAAGCACTGCTACCATATATGGCAAGTTACTCACTCACGCACTACAAACGTGCACTTTGAAAAAGGAAGGACTGAGTACTTCAATATGAAAGCAGTATTCATTGCTACGCCAATTCTGAGACCATGTTAGTTTACAAAGGAACTGAGTGACTCAGCTCCAAATATACAGTTTTAAATATCTTACACATACTATCTCTCTATTTAGCCACCTTTGTGACCAGCCTCATGTTCAATCAACCAATCATATCGCTACCATCCATTCGGTACCCTTAGTGTATACTTGTATATAAAATGATAAGATTTTGCAGTAAAAATATACAAAAGCATAAAGAATAGAGAATATACAAAGAGGGTATAAACAAAGAATTTGGATGTCATGTACACAGTAATAATAAATATTAAGCTATATGGTGCGGCTATTCAGATGTAGACAAATTTCAGGGCAAAAATAACTGAGAGAAAGTAGCATGCTTTTGAAGGTAGAAAGTTTATGGTCTATCCACATTCATCCCTATCTTGATTTCGTTAATATAGTACATATAAGTTATATAAATAAATTTCAATATATTGCATTTCATGGTGATTGCCTATATCCAGGATAAATATGGATAGATCACAGTCTCCTTCAGTTTAATAATATCAAACGAGGCATATCATGCGGGTAAAATAGTACCAGCAGAAAGTTGTCCCGAATGAAGAACAGAACAAATACTTAGAAACAAAAATACTTGAAAGAGCATTATAAAGATTTAAATGAAAGAAATATCAGCTGAGTTTGTTTGACTGCCCCTTAGAAATCGACTAGTACTGATTGATCAACATCAGGGCTGCATGGTCTTAAACCATGTTAGCTGGCTAATAGCACTTTGAACGCCCATTGAATAAGTATTGAGATCACATATTTGTTAGTAAGTGATTTTCTGTTTCAAAATACTTCTTTTATGTTAATTATGCAGACATATGTACATACACATAATCGAATATGTTGGGCATACAATAATTTCTAATTTTCAATGTAAACATTTGCTTTTTATGAAGGGAAATGCTAAGAGATATTCAAGTGATTTTAACTGTCCAATACCAAGTCTGTTCATCTCCTACAGGAGCGTATATGCTCCTCTTATTGGCCTTGAAGCTGCGTCATGTTTTATGCATCAGAGCATGGGCTTTCTACAGCTCTAACTGTACAAAATATTGGTCCAAAGTAACCGCTAGTGTAATATCAAATACTGACAAGGAACCTCTTGTCAACAATACTTGCAACATTTTATAATACAGGTATAAATAGCCTACATTTTTCTGGCTTGAATAAGTGTTTTGTACTTTGTAGTAAAGCTGCTGAGGTATTCAATTTCTTAGAAACAGTGCTGTGCATGTCTCAGCAATTTGAAAAACATGTCAGCTATTCTGGATGGTACTATTGGCTGCCATGTGAAACTGTTACGCAACCAGCTTACTTTCGGTAACCTTTAACTGAGTGGTGTACACTCTGTGATTATCAACCGAGTTGTGCTGCTTAAAACTCTTGAATGAGTTTTGCAAACTCTCAGCAACTCTTAACTGTGCACACTCAGCAACTCTAAACTGAGTGTGGTGCACTCAGCAACTCTTTACTGAGCATGGCTCATTCATTTCTACATGAGCTTCACTACAAGAATAGTTTAAATATATGGAATAATTTACAAAGTTGTGGGGTGACTGGCGTATATTAGGCTTTATTGCATGAAACTATAGTCCGGATGATCGTCCACTTTTTCAAATCTTTTTGCTTCTTCCTGCATGCTTTCTTTTATCTTTAGAATTGCAGCTGATTCTGTTTGATCCTGGAACACAAAATAAAATGCGGATTGGCTAACAAAAGGAAATCAATACAAGAATTACAAGGCATTAACATGTACAATGTCATCACCTGCCATTTGTTACAGACCCGAACACCATTCACAAAATAGTTGGGAGATTATTACAATGTGTCACAACTTCTGATGCTGACATAATAATACAAGGCATTAATATGCAAAATGCACCTGCCATATGTTACAGACGCTGGCTGGCAAACACCAACTGCTGAACACGGTCCATAAAAAAGTTGACGACTATAACAATATGTCACAACTTCTGGTGCTGACATAACAGTACAAGGCATTAACATGCAAAATGTCACCACCTGTCATATGTTACAGACGCTGACGCCAAACACCAACTGCTGAACACTGTCCATAAAAAAGTTGGAGACTATAACAATATGTGCCATAAAAACCATGAAACTCAGTTTATAGATGTCATGCCATTCCAAGCACTGCATTCTACAGGTTGGCAAGAGTACATGTTCAATGATTTAACCAATAAACAGTTAGAGGACACCAATCATTTGAGGGTGTACTGTACAAGTATCATTGGAAATATTATTCAATTCTCAGTATTTTGAGCTTATACCCATATTGAGCCATTATCAATGAAGAAATTCATATTCTAAGAACATACATGACCTAGGAGTTTCTCATTTTAAGTTAACTAGTGACAATATTTGGGCATGTCAGTAACTTTTATCAGATGTAACTTTCCTCAGAGTCACAATTTTTTCGCTAATACATGCCTATTTCAACTTTAAGAAAAGCCAGAGAATCCAGATCAAAAGAAAAACTACAAAAAAGTTTTCAAAATAGGGGGGAGGCACGTCTGCCTCCCCTTAGAAAAAATCTATCAACAACATTTAGTTGTCCGGTATATTCTTAACATGTCTGATAATTGTGGTGTTTAATCGGCAAAGATTCGGATATTCCATAAATATCTTGATAATAAAATAAGGAGTTGAATGACTTTAACCTTAAGGTATGACATCAGTATGCATACAGTAGAAGGTCACATGTTATTAATTATTACTTAGATTATTCATTTCACTCCGCCTACCTAAATAATAACATATACAAGTATTTCAAAAGAGTTTACTTACTGTGGGATTTACATTATCTTGATATGGATTGTATCCTCCCATGTCATTGGGCTGGCCACCAGAGGTGCCCATGTCATCTCGAGGGGTACCAGGGCCATGTTGAGGGGAACTTTTGATGCCTTCCATAGGAGGAGGAGGACCTTCACCTAGATAGCAACAAAGTACACACATACTCATTTCATAAAGAATATAGGCAGGGGTTCGGGCGAACCTCCCCCTGGCCAAAATTTCTCTCAAAATCATGCAGTTTTTCACCATTCTGACTATTTTTTGAGTGATTTTTGGTCAAATTTGCCAAAGTGAAGTCCACCTAGAATTTTGGGGAAAAGTGAACCCCCCTTGGAAGATTCTGGCTACGGGCCTGATAGGTAAAGGTATATACAGCATATACTTCTTGCAATATGGTTGTCACAAACAATCAAGTTGGATGAATATTGTGCAACCCATCTCAGGAATTCTCAACTCCCTACAGAAGAAACTGCAATAGCTTACCATTCATAACAGATGGCATATCTCCTGGCCCAGCCATGCCTGGCATTGGGCCATCTGGTCCCATAGGATAGCCTCCAGGGCCCATAGGCTTCATCATATTGTACATGCCATCTCCTGAATGCGTTGAATCTGAAAATAATTTGAGTGACTTTAATATAACTAATAATAGATAGCATATTTCTTCCTTTAGTTTTTCCCTTCTTTAGCTTGATCATTGAAAACATGTTGGTGTCTCAGAGGTTCTTAAATATGTTGGTGTCTCACATTGCGTGTATTGTCTCTTCATCTCAAAAAGCTCTTGGTCTTTACAAACCTTTCAAAATCTCTTCAATAAATGGTCAGATCTTATTTTTTAATTCGTATGAGAATGATAATATATGTACATATTATATATTTCTACTTTTTTCTCATGTTGCCCCTCTTGTGCTTTCTCATGATCTTCTCTTGGTCAAAATTCACTTCAATAAAATATTATTCATAAAGATGGCAGCACTATAAAGTTTAAGTTAATTTAACTATTTTTTATTAATGATAATAATGATGCCATTTCATTGAACGACTAGAAAGTCCTGTGTTTCTTTTTTGTACTGATAAACAAACAGATTTTTTCAATGAAACAACCTGATTATTATCTTAGATTGAAATTGTTTGACATCACCTGGAATAAAAGCTACTCTGCAGTTTAAGGTTGTTATGGCATCTAAGTTATGCTGCACTAATAACTACAGTAATTACTGCTACTACCACACACATGCATTGCAAATTATTAACACCTATATGTTTACATGTAATAATAATGAGTATTGCAGAGGGGCTCTTCCCAACTAGGGAACAAGGTATGTCTTTCTTTGACTTCAAGGGTAACACTTTTCCATATTGAAGACTTAAAATGGGTCCACCTGCCGTATCAGGATAACAGAGTGTTGGCATATTTATCCATTTAGCAATACAACAACAAGATTCCTCCAAGATGAGATTATTTAGGTTAGTTTATTGGGGATTATATTTAATGCAAAGAAGGCTATGTTACTTTATGATTAGTTTCCTTCTAGATTTAATCACCTGGTTGTTTGACTGAGTTCATTCTGTGGGGGGAAAATGCTTGTTTAGGTGTTCCTAACAAATAAAAGCAAATGAGAAATAAATGTCTGACACATCAGATCTGTGGTGCAAAATAAGAGCAAACCTTATCAAATATTTTCAACTAACAAATATACAATGTGAAGAAGTATACAATAAAGCAGGGTGGTTTCTAATTTTTATTTTGGATATGATGACCTTTGACCTATTGATCAAAAGAAGTTTTGGAACATACCTTGTGGACTGGGCATTATGGGAGTTCCGGGGTGACCTGATACTGGTGGTCCCTGAAAATAAGTGAATTAGAATGAGATTTGTAATAAAAATGTAGAGAATGTAACAAAAACAAAGAGGAAACACACTAAAATAATTTTGTTTTCTGTATAAATCATTTGATTCATAATCATTTATATAAATATGAAGATAATGCATCAGACAAACATGCATACGACATGATGAATTTCTTGATAGAATTTCAGGAACTTAATTCTTTTTCAAACATTGGAGATAACTGAGAATCCACTCCCTCTGAACCTCCTCAATAAAAGAAATGTAATAACAGAGGAATGCAACTTACTTGTGAGTTAGGTGGCCAAGGGCCCCTACTACCCTGTCCTGGTCCAGGACCACCTGGCCTGAAAACAAATTAAATTATAATGTAAAACATTTATACTTATTCATTTTTCAATTTACATACAGTGCTGGCCTGGGTTATTTTTTTACCTATTATGGAATTATTAGGTTTAGGTATTATGGAATGAAATATGTTATCCTTGTTTATTATGGGAGTAACTGCACTGAAAGATGTATTTCGTATTCCATAATATAACTGAGAACACACAGAACAACAGCTTAGAAAACATTAAACAAACACACAAACTTGACTTCGCTCTTTTTATCAACAAAACAAAAGATTTTTGTTCAACATTATGAGCCTGTGAATGTTTTTTAAAATACTGTATCTTTATGTGGAAAAAGATGGCATTGTCTTCTGAAATTGTGCACATACTGTACAAGCAAATAATGTCCATCTCCAGGTTTACTTACATTGACATAGGTGGCATTGGTGGTCCTGGTGTTCCTGGTCCCCCAGGGCCTCCAGGTACCATACCATTAGGGGGTGGAGGACCTCGCATTCCATAATTCTGGAACACAATATGTACTAAATAAATATGACATTTTATTAAATGAACCAGCCGTCTTTCAGTTTCCCTTCAGGAAAAATATTGTAAACATTGAGTTATAGGTATTTTTATGTATAGCTTGCAAGATTGAAGACTTTTGTTTAAAAGTATTAATTGATATTTGTTGCAATCCTTGGACCTAGATTCAAAATTAAAGATGAGAGAAATGTCACTTCTCAAATCTTCAAATTTTATATCTATATTGTATTGCTACTTACTGGATTCATTGGGCCTCCTGGCCCAGGCATCCGCACAGGCCCCATCCCCCTCATTGGCCCCATTCCAGGTGGCACTGGAAAACACAGATGATACAGTATTTGAAACATTCAAAGATCCAATTTTAATACACTGACATCTAACAATAACATATCATTTATCATGTAAGAAGGAAACACATATTATACTGAAAAACATTGAATAGTAAAATAAATAACATCAGACTCCGTAGATGGCACCAATACGCGAACAATCACCACAAAAACAATAAGTTATATGATATTCTAAGTTGGTTTATTGTTGGTTCAGAAACATAATTAGAAGTTTGCCAAAATTTCCCAACAGGCTGACTCTTTTTGACTGCTATCCCAAGTACAAGTGCTTATAATAATATCATAAAACTTGCACCAATACATCATGGAAAGGTCTGTATGATATTATGCATGAGAGGTATGCTAACTGAATTGTCTGAATGTTTACATGGTTCATTGGTAAATGTAGTAATGAAAAACAGCTGCGATTGAGTTATGATTGATTAATTCAGGCTGACAATTAGCGTTCAAATCACTACGTTAATCATGCCTAAAATGAATATAATACAAAGTAATGGCCTACTCTATCGGATCCAATTTCTTTGTCAGAGCCACTTCATGGAATTGAAATTGGACTTTTCTATCTTTCACAAAAAAACATAAAGCCGTTGGCATAAATTCAATCTATTTAAAAAGGGGAAGACAATTCTATCCCTTGATATGAAATACATGGGTACAAAAGAAATAACAAAAAACTTGCTATTTGATTCCTTGTTAATAAGACAATTCAAGATCAATAAGTTATCCTGTTCTCAAGTCTTTTGATCCCTCAATACAATACATGATACCAAAAGAGTATAATTGTCCATAACACAAAGCAGTCTCTTGATCATTCAATACAAGATATTTGGAGGCCCCATCTCTAAAACTGCTCCCTCCATACAAGCATGAGCATTACAAAGGCCCCAGCGTATTAATCAATGTAAAACTCAGCATAAATTAAAAAGTAAATTACCGGTGTTTGTGTTTGGCAAGTTGTTTGTTTACTAAGCTAAGGCAAACATATTTCACTCAATGAGCCTGAGATATCATCTGTTCAACTGTCAGTGTCTGACTAAAAACATACTTTGCCTTTTAAACCTAGCTCACTGACTTTCAATTGAGAGCATTTAAATTGCTGATATACATCATGTAGAACTTAAAAGAGGGCCAAGAGAAGATATAACATGACAAATCCATTACAGGGAAGACTATATAGCAACTACAAGAGTATAAGGTTTGGGGGTCTGTTGATCATACATCAATGCAACTGTTGGCACATCCCACGTGTACTTCTGACTTCAAAAGCTTTAGAACAGTATAGAGGCATAGAAGCTGGGAATAAGTATTGGTTATTCAGGTTATGACACTATTGAACATGATGGTTTCATGATATCTGTTTTATGAGTGAAATATGAGAGGCGCTTATATTCCCCATTAATCTGGAGTGTGGTTTAAAGCCACTAACTCTCCTAGGCTCTATGAAGACGAATGTGCTGGATGTGAAGCTAACATGAATCAGTCGACCACCGCAATAACCATTAGTAAGATTTCCCCTAAAGACAAATAAAATGCATTATCTGAAGAGGGGTTGTTCAGCTGAAGGCACAGACACAGGGAGAGGGCTAAGTGTGTGGAGGATAATTGCATGTCTAATGGCCAGAAAAGATAATAGAAGATAGATGCTCTCCCATGAAGCGCTCACTCAGGAAATGGAGCCAGGCTATGGAACAGGCGGGAACAAGTCACTCTGATTAAGCAGGTTTACATTTCATCTCATCCAGACATTACGGATATTGCTTGTATTGACCAGGTTTATAAAGTAGATAAGTTATTGCAACACTCTGTTGTAATGCTATGTAACGCAACAACAAATAGGGTACACACAGTTGTAGTTATTGCCTTGAATGACTACAAATATATCTAGATTAAGAGCGCAAAAGCAAACGCACAGCAATAAATAAATGCTTTGGACCCCATCATAACTTATAATTAGGCGTGTATTAAATGAGACATTTTCTAATAAATGCATCTAATACTTGATGCAAATTTAGCATCTGGAGAATGTACATTAGACGTTATGAATGAAAAGAGCCAGTATTTTTACTCAAGAGACAGGACATAGAGACTTTTAGGGACTGTTTACAGAAACGAGGCCTGGGGCTGTATCCTTTATAACTCAATATTAAGATTAAATCAAGCAATTATTTGATTAGAAAATCTTAACATGAAAGACAGAGCACTAAAAGCTAACAACTTAACTAGTGATCATACTCTGAATGGTCCAAATGCTGTATTGAAGGATTTATTTCTTAGAAAAAACTTTACTGGAATTATAAATTAAACAGGCCAAGCAGGACTACTCATAACAATCTCAGTAGTATATCACTTCACAATTAGTGATAGAAACGGCACAATCGTTATGTTGTCTCTCCAGATATGTCCTATCATTAAGTTAGGAGAAATAGAGAATTCACAGCATATCACTGAATGATAGAATAATCTTAATAGCTGTGATAACATGGATAATTGCAGCTAAAATCCCAATATAAATGGAACAAATAGTTCAGAAAGAAATGGATTTACAACAATTTCTCAAGGGATAGTACAAGACTGTCAATGATATTACATTAGGTTATGTTGACACGCCATAAAGTTATGATGACATCATAACAGAAACATGGTGACAATAGAGGTAAGATGATATATTGTGATATTAAAATTGAAGACAGGTCTATGTCGATTTGTAACAATGCTAAATTAAAGTCAAGATATTGTTAAGCCAGGATGTCAAAATTAACTTGTTACTAAGGCGATGAATTGCTCCAATGTGAGATGTGACGACAACAGGTGAATACATAACACAAAAGGTATGGAGTTTCAAAATTAAGATATATTTGGTTCCCATGTCTGTTACTTCTTTATATCATCTACTCAAAACATAGTAGTTCACACTGTAGATTATTTGCATGTATTTAACTGGAGGATAAACACATCTGGTCCCTAGAACAGGTCTGGCTCATTGATAGGGCACCTATGTTTAGACAGGTCCTTTTCCTCCATAACTTGAACATGCTATGATCTCTTAACTGCGCTTTTATTGATATTAAAGTAGAATCCATAAAATATATTCCAGTACATGTAGACCTTTGATTTTTTTAATGTCAGGGAAGTTCGTTTAATATCATCAATACATAGTGTTTGTTTGTTTGTTTTGTTTGTTTGTTATATTCCCTCAGTGGAGTAATCACATCAACTGCCCTCCCATTTTCCTCAAAAGCAGAAGCTTGCCAGTTGAATAAAACCAAGTATTTTATTGGTGACCATGTTGAACATAAGTCGATGATATGAAACAACATATATTTGTGTTTGGAAGCCTCAGAAGTTGTGAGATAGATGTAAACATGGCCGAGGATGCTGGGTTAGCTGTGAACACAGTGATATCCTGGCCTAAACAACAGATACGCCGCCAGATCAAAGCCAGTCATCACAAAACATGGCTCTTCAATTAGCCCTAGTTGCCATCACAAACACATAGCTACATATCAAAAACCTGTGAAGATTACACAGCTTTTTACTTCCACACAGGCTCCATGTTAAAACATGGTACTAATAGATTCAAGCTAGCATGGTGATAGTGCTATCTCATACCAAGTAGTTAGATCTGACATCTAACAGAATGTCAAGTTCCATGGGCAAGCTCAGATAGATGAAATAGTAAATTTCCTGATTGAAATTCCCACTGTTGTTGTTTGATGTTGAAATTGGTCAGGAGGGGGTGCATAATGCCACACAGTTAATCAGTGATGGGTTAGTAGAAGATGAGACAAGTCCTCTGATTGCATATAGAGGCTACTCTTTTTTAAAGAAATTTACTTTTTTATTAAATCAGATTATGTAGTCAGAAACAGCTGATATACATTTCACATTCAAACTCCCATAAAGGGTCATGAAAGCTATTTTAGAGATTGTTCTGAGTCGCAAAACTAGAATCTGAATACTAGTGGTGCTAAAATTATTAGAGGATGGTATAGCCAGTTGATTGGACGTCAGGGTAAATTGATACAAGCTGGTTGGCTGGCTCAGCTGGTGCAACAACCCCTGATTCTAATGAGACATCTCGCCATACTAAACCCACTTGCTCAATTAAGTAAGACAGGGATGGGTAGTTGAAAACTAATTGCATTGGTTAAGAACATCTCAGATGCTGCGGGCAGGAGCCATCAAAAAGTGACGGGATTGGCCTATTGTTGGCTGCTGAGAGTGGAATGTAGCTGATAGCTTACACCAATTAATGTCGAGCCCCTTGGAGTCAACATTCCTGTCTAACAGCACACAGCATCAAGTCATATTCTTTGACTTACACACCAACAATTTCTTCATATTCATCCAATGTACATTTACATATTTCATTTTAGCATTCTACTTGCTGATGATTCCGAATGATATACTGATGCTAATTCTGACCCAAGTAGTTCTTTATTAACAATGATTGAGAAACTACATCCAAGTAAGGCAATATACCATCAACTTCAATTCTTTGATTTAGGCTCTCTCCAATCAGCTTACATTCACTAAGCATTCAAACTTCCAAACAACATGGTGATAATTATAGACATGTCATTATTACCAGGTAAACTGAGCCATTTATAAGCTAACAGTGCCGAAAGTATGCCTTTCTGTCAAAGAATCAAGGAATAAGTGTGTAATGTTGTTATTAACTTGTTTCATACTACCTTGTCGATGCCTATCTTGGGTTCTGGTTCTGTGACAATCCGGCAAACATCTACACTTTCCAATGTAGTCTGCCTTTGCATTTTTAAAAGAGAACTTCATGTGTACTCTTTGAGTTAGAGGTTATCAAGCCTTAACCAATCAGGGTATGGTTGATCAAATCCACCTACCCAATCCACAAGCAGTCACCAAACTGAATGCACTCATAAATACTGAAAAGCTTATTTCATACTGAAACTCATTGAAGGCAATGACAGATACTTCTGGGGTC